AGAGAGAGGGGAGAGAAAGAGAAAGAGAGAGGCACACAAGTACACACAAAGAAAGCAGGCTCTGAGGTCCACAGAAAAGATCCCTCAGGGCAGCTGGCAGCTCTCCAGTCTGAAGCCCTTAGCTTTGTTGCATGGGCCATTGTAAAGCCCGWGGGCACAGGAGCTGGGTGGTCTGAACTTGAATCCAGGCTCTGTCACCTTCTGTCCTCCCTGTGCCTCAGTGTCCTTGTCTGTACCATAGATGCAACACCACCACCCATCCCAYGTCAAAGAATGGTTTTAAGGATTGAACAAGAATCACCTGGCAGAGTAAGCTAGCATTAAGCCCAGCTTGTGAGACTATCGCCTGTCCTTCACTGGATTCTCACAGGCCCTGGGATCCACCTGGACACCTGCATTCCCTAGATGCTRTGTCAGTGTCAGAGTGTCAGAGTACAGCGGGCCACAGGGTCCTACAAACCCGGGTTCAAACCTGGGCTCCATCACATATTAAGCTTTCTGCCTCAGTTTCCTCAACTGAAAAATGGAATGATAATAATCGCAAACACATGTTAATGTTGCCGAGGGATTTAAAATATGCACTGAGAAGACCTTGTAAAGAGCATGGCAAGGAGTAAGGGCCCTATAAATATTTGTATTATTATGGGCTCCCTTCCCCCAGAGCCTGCATGCCCCAACCTCAGCTCCCCAGCTCCAGAGGTCAGACAGCTGTAAAAATCATAGCTATCATATTGGCTTCATTTTCATAAAAACCAGTCCTGGTTTCAAAGTCCCCAGATTGCTAGTCAATTCTGTTCTTCCACCACGTGACCAGCAGGGGAAGGAAGGGCCTCATCCCTGCAGGACACTAARCCCCTTCGGAGGAGGAGGCCTGGGAAAAGAAGGTCCTCTAGCCCTGTAACCAACCCAGGCTGGTGATGCTTCTCCTGGTGATCTGGGGATGGGACAGGCTGCATGTCTGGGCAGTGGCTTTGGCACCCTCCATGTCTCTTCCAAGACACCTAGTCCCAGGCATCTGGGACAGCCARGCTCCTTCCTTTTTCCTCCTGCTTCTCAGGGCCTGATATGAGAATGGAGGTCACATGGCCTTCATGTGGAAAGCCAGCAAATCCACAATCCTAGAGGAAGAACAGACGATGGAAAAGGAAGGAAGAGAATGGGCTAAGTCCAGAGGAAAACCTCCCCCATTCCCTGGGAGTTAGCTTCCCGCCCTACCTGCTATTATCCAGGTAGAGGACTAGGCCTTGATCCTGGTGTAAGGACCAGCCAGGCTGGAGAGCCACTTGACCTGAGGTACCATCTTCTAGTGCTACCTCTGTTTCCTCCAGCTTCAAGACTCCTGCTTGTTCCCAGAAGCCACTCACCCGCCCACCACTGGCCTCCATTGGCCCCAAGCTTAAGCTGCTCAGAAAAAGGGTGAAGCCTCGCAGCCCCCAGGCCTCTCACTCTCCATTAAGCAACCCTCCCCATCTGTCACCCCATCATCTTTTTTCCCATCTGTCCAGCTTAGGGCCTAGAGCCTCTAACCCACCTGAGTCATGTGGCAGCCACTTATCCTGGCCTCCTCTGTGAAGAGCATCCCTTCTGGCTCTAGGGCACAAAGCTGGATGCAGGGTCTGGGGCAAATGGCCCTGTGCAGTGCTATACCTTACCCATACATACAGACCAAGTGACAATAGGCCCACATGGATCCCCAAGCAGCCATAACCAGGGAAAGTAGAGGGGGATTAAAAAAAAAAAAAGGGACACAGCAGGTGGGGGAGGTGAGTGGGGAGGGAGAAGAGAGGAGGCCCTGTTGCCAGGCAATCAGGCCTGCTCAGGGCCTCTCCAGGCAGTTTGCATATCAATGAGCAGCCCAGATTTAGTACCAGGGTTGGGACACCCACACACTGCATTTCCTCCAGGCTGCCCATATCTGAGGGCTCAGCCTGCTCTCCACTGCCCACTGGGAGGCCTGGTGGCTTTGAAAGGAGCAAAGTAGCCACTGCCACCCACACTAGGCAACTGCCCCAAGGGTATTAATCTGCCCCCACAGTCCAGCCTCCCAGATCTCTGCTGGGAAACCAGAGAGATAAATGTCTACTGGATGACCTCAGGGATCAGTGGGAGGGCGGGTGCACAGGTACATGTAGGCCGACAGGTGAAGGACAGAAACCCAGCCCTGGAGAAATATACCCTGGCATGCTCATTCCTGGGCACATGATATATGTTCTGCATGGTGTGCATGCTGCGCGTGCGTCAGCCAGGGTCCATATTTATGCATGCACATGGACCCCCCCAGGAATTGCCATCACAGTCACATGAATCAGCCAGGACAGCTAGGAGGCTGGAGACTGGCAGCACATTAGCACCCATGGAGCTGGAGGGAGGCCTTGGAGGGAAACCGTGGCCCCAGAAGCTAATGACTTGCAATTAATAATTCGCCCCCACCCCCGGGTGATTTGCATGCTAGTGGAGGTTTCTGAAGTCCAAGGTGGGGGGCTCAGTGTCTGAGGTGTATCCCCAGAGCAAGTTCAGTGAGGGGAAGAGATGAAGGAGGGGGAGGCGAGGGGCACAGGGCTGGAAGGGGYGGGAGAGTGGGCTGTGAGGAGAATCAGCAAATGATAGAATGTTCCACCTGGAAGATACCTTCAAGGCCACCAAGTCCCAAGGCTTCATTTGCATATGAGAAAAGTGCCAATCAGGGGAGAYTTATAAAAGAGAAATGAAGCAAAAGAAAAGAAAGAAGACAGGAGAGGTGAAAAGATCAAGAAGAAAAGAGGCAAGGAGAAAACCCGGGTACAGATCGGGTAGCCCGGGTGCTCGCCTTCTCCTTGCCTTCTCCTTTGTTTAATGAACACATCTCCCTTTTTCTCTAATTAGGTGAAACAAACAACTTGAACCAGAATTTGTATTTCCCAGAAAGCACACGCCCGGACACAGTAAATATGTCATTAATCATCATTCCCAGGCAGAGGAGCACGCTGGGCTGGAGAGGAGGGGAAGCAGTCAGAAGACCTAATTAGAGCCCAGCCTCCCTGCCCCCTCCCACTGGCACCCACACACAGGCTCCCTGCCACCACACCCAGAGTCCAGCAACTGTGGGTGGGGGGGGGGTCCCCAGGCAGAGTCAGAGTTATATAAATATCCCTTGTTAGCACCTCAGAAGAAAGGAGGTGAGAAGAACAATGCAGTCCCCTCCTCCGCTCCTCCCCTCACCCCACCCCCAGGTCTTACTCTCATCCAGGAAATTGTTCTTATTATCACTTAGCTATTTATAGTCACAGTGAGGTTTGCCGAACAGCCCCAAGCCAGCCTGGTGCTGTGGTGCTGGCTCTAGCTGGGGGATAAATGATATGCCCTCCAGACATTTTTTGGACCTCAGTCAAGCACCCTGGCTCAGAGGCGACCTGAAGACTCTGGCCCTGTGGGCTATTTGGCCTGATCCCTTTGTTTGCTAGGACTGGCCACATCCTTCTCCTCTGGTCCCTGTGCCCAGGACCAGTGCCTCCCAGTAAAGAAAGTGCTGAGTCCTCAGGCCACCAAGGCCTGGCTGGTGTACAGTATAGGAGAAAGTCCAGAGCTACTGCCCTGTGGCTCTCCCTAGAATGTCAGAGTCTGGCTTGGCCCAAAGCAGGATGTGTTGTTTTGTTGTTGTTGCTTTTGTTGTTGTTGTTGTTGTTGTTTAATTTTGAAATCAGGGTCTCAATAGGTTAACGCAGGCTGGCCTCAAATTTGAGATCCTCCTGCCTCAGCCTCCCAAGTTGCTGGGATTGCAGGAATGCACCACTATACCCAGTGATGCATTGATCTAGGCTGAGGCTCAGGCTAGGTTCTCCTTGTCCCAGAAGTCACAAGCTTTGCCCCGTGTTGAGAAGGATCACCCCAAGCTGAGATAGATTCCAGTAGCCCACAGATTTCTGCTAGTTACCTCAGTAGTCATTCTCCTCCAGAGTTCTGAATCAGTGATTGTTTCCACCTGCAAGGCCCAGGTCATAGGAACTGACCTCTGGCATCTCAGGAGGCTGGACAGGGTCACTCATTCTGAAATACCAGTCTACACTCTGCCCAGTAAGTTCCTCTTGCTCAGTTTTCTCTTGCAAAATAACGATAATGCTCTTGAGAATGAGAAGCAACCCCATTGTTATTTCTTGGGAGGTTTTGAGGAAGTAGAGTCATCTATTCCCTGGCCCCAACTGGGGCAAAGCACGGCTGCTTCCAGTACCCCTTCCAAAGTGAAGTCCCTCCCAGGATGGGACAGAAAGTCTTCAAAAGATGAACAGACTCCAGTTTCTACATAACATGACCATCCCACCCAGACACCCTCCCCAGCAYGTGACTCCCTTRATGGGCCCCAAACTGAWGGGGAGGTAGCTAGAAAGAGGAACMGGGGAGGGCAGAAGGTAGCAGCCCTGATGAGAGAACTAGGGACAGAATGGCATTTTGATCCAGTAGGAAACAGCAATGGCCCCAGAAGAGAGGGGACCAAAGGCTTTAGGACTTGTCTTGGTTTCCAAGAGCTTCCATAACAAAGCACCACATTCTGGTGCTTAAAACAGCARTGCTTTGTTCTCGACAGCTGTGGAGGCCAACAAGTCAGAAATCAAGGTGGCGGCAGGCTTTCCCGCCTTTCAAGTATCTARAGAAGAAGGCTCTCTGTCTCATCCAGCCCTGGCGGCTCCTCTTACATGTGGCAGCATCATTCCAATCTCTGCCTCTGTCTTCACATGGTTGCCTCTGATTCTGTGTCATCTGCTCCTCTCAAAAGGACAGTCATTGGATTTAGGGAGGACCCTCCCTAAACCCAGGAGGATCTCATCTCCAAACCTTASAGATTAATAAGTACTTAACTAATCTGCAAGGCCCTATTTCCACATGGGATCGTGTAAGTTTCTGGGTAGACATGAATTTGGGGATACAGYTCAACCCACTGCACGACCCAAGTCTTTAAGTCACTACCAACATAAAGTATGAGTTTAGTCAAGTCCTGTCTCCTCTGTTAATTTCACCTGTTTCCTCCCCAGTMAGATGGAAAATAATGATATCTGTCCTGCTATGATTTGGTGGAGGCTCTAATGAGATAGGGAAGGGAAATGGTTTGAAAAGACAAAAGGGAAATATGTAGGGAAATAATTAAAAGTGGATGTGCATTGCTTTTGCCTACATCCCTACCCTGCTCTGTCCTTGCCTCCATGCCCCCAGTCGCATCCCCTTCTGCAGACCGTAACCTTTCAGGGGCCACAAGTGGCCGCCCATTGCAAACTACCTCCTTGCTTTTTGCACAGACCTAAGACTCACCCTGACACCAGAGGCAAAATAGATGTCAGTTCATTTCTACATAAAACCTACTTGAAGCCTGATTTCCATTAGCCCCAGCCTGATTTCTTCTGTGCTTTTAGCTTACAAGTCCAGGCCGATTTTCACGCATGATAATAATATTTCTAGTTGCTTTTTCCTTCCACACCCCAGCACTCATGCCAGGGAACCAAGAGTAACCTCACCCCCAGCTCTGCAGAGAGACTGAAACCCTGGTCTCCTGAGCTGACCTACACACCCACACACTCCATCACTGCTCTCTCTTCTCCTCTCTGAGCTGGGCCCTGAGCCACCCAAGCCAACACAGCCCAGTGACATGGGGCCTTCTGTCCCTTTTCCCCCTCCTCTTCCAGACCCTGCTTCGAGATGGCAAGCGTGAGAGCATCGTCAGCACCCTCTTCATCTCCCCCGGTGATGTAGAGAATGGACAGAGCATCGTGTGCCGTGCCACCAACAAAGCCATCCCTGGGGGGAAGGAGACTTCAGTCACCATCGACATCCAGCGTGAGTACCGACCAGCCTCACCTGGCCTGGCCAGGCCCAGGATGGGAAATATCTTTTACCCCTGACCAGAGCTGGGGCCATCTGAAGGGAGAGGATGAGCCAGACAGCTCTGTGGATTGGCCAGTTTGTATGAATGGGCACAAAGGACCATCTTGTTCTTATTGTCATGTGAAGCACAGATGAGAGTCCTCTGCAGAGGACATCTTYGAGTCACATTCACACTATATATCCACGTCAACCAACAGTCAGCAGCTGGCCCCACTGGCCTGCGGGAAAGGGAGCCAAGGCAAAGATGCTGGGAGCTGACAGGCACTCAGGGTCCAGAATGGGTCATAGCCGTGTGCCCTGGAGAGTGTCTACAGAGCCGCTCTCATGCCAGGGTTGGTCAAGGGGATTAGAGGAAGAGGAAGAAGGATGGGTGTTCATTCAGCTCATACTTTGCATGCATTGTCTCCTTTAGTCCTTACAAAAGCACTTGGAGGATGTATGACTGTGGTCCCTAAATGGGGAGAGTGAGGCATCAAAAGGTTGGTTAATTTTCCCAAGGCCACAGAGGGGGCCAGGCACCAGAGCTTTCCAGAGCCCACCCTGATAGCCCAACTTCTATACTCCGAGTCAGCCTTCAGCAGGTTATTATTATTCAGCAGGTTATGGCTATTACTGTTGATATCAACAATCACAGGCTGTTAAGATCCACCAGCATCACATCCCAAAAGCCATCTAAAGGAGACCCCTAGATGTCCCCTAAAAAAATCCCCCTAAAGTGCCTGTAAGCCCCAGGAGCTCGACAAGGCCTTACTCACAGGACCAGTATGGGGTAGGTTTAAAGTATCATCCCTCAAAGGTGGACTTCTCCCCTCTCAGATGCCCTCCCTGCCATGGAACATAATGCCACTACATGCTGGTGACCTCGCACATAGTTGGTCATAGACTCTGAGTGACATGGCTGCAGTTGTAGGCTGGCATTCATGGTCTCCTCAGCACTTCACTCRTTTTTGAAGAAATGCTTTACAACACTTCCTAACAGCCCTGACTTGTCTAAGGGTTCTTGGCTCTGGGCATCATATGGCTCCCCAGGGATGTGGAGTCCACAAGAGCTGTGCCTTAGGATTTCTAGAGCCTATCTTGGCATCCAGAGAGCAGAAGTTCCTCCCTCACTGCCAGCATCCTGACCCCATTTAGATTCCAGAGGGAGAAAGAAATGGTTATAAACATCAGGAAGGTCCCAATGCCTGGAGAGAATGGTGGAGTTCTTGGGAAGGCTTATCTTCACTATCTTGCCAGCAACTAAAAATCCCCTCGACCCCACAATGCACACCCCAGGGCTACTTCTTCCAGTTACTCTTCATTAATGAGAGTAGAGAGCAGCAGAGCTCTTGCTGAGCCTAAGGCCAGGAAGCTAGAGGGAGGTGCCGAGGGCACAAAATTTAAGGAGGCCTCCTTTGATGGTGTAAGTATAGGGTGGGTCCTGAGAGGGAGGGCCTCCTTCAATTTTGCACCTGAGGTTCCTCCATTTCTTGGCCCTAGTCCTGCCCTGGCTCTCAGCACCACCTGCTTCTGTCCCAGTGAACTGGGGTTTGGAGCACAGGCCCAGCTCTGAGAGGAGGCAAGATGCTCTTGGGCTGGACAGCGTGACAGCCAGAACAGCTCCACCACTCCCGAGCTTGGCAGGCCTGAGCTTGTCAATCTTCACATCCCACCCCCAACTCGGGTTTCTTGTCTGATCTGACCAATGATGTCTCTAGGATTGACCATGAAGAAGACCTCTCTCTCTCTAGACAAAAGCCAGATCTGGGGGAGGCACAAAGTATCAAAGCCCCCGAATATCTGTGGCCACTGCATGGAGCCCCTGATCTCCTTCCCCCAATCCTGGGCAGGAGACCTATACCAGCTACAGAATCCCATACAAAACAGACAACCTAGCTGGCTCTCCCAAGACAGCAGCCAGGACCCTGGCAGGGAAGGGGGGAAGTAGCAGTGTTTCTGCTCCAGGCCACTCTCCATCACCCAGAAGAACCTCTCCCAGCAACAAGAGAGTCATCATAGTAATAGCCCACCCRGCTATTCAAAGACATCCTCTAGACGCACTCCAGCAAGAGGATCAATTTACCAGGCTGCACATGCTCTGGGGTCTGTATCAAGATGTCAAGGGCCTCTCCAGGTCTCTGGGCCCTGCCTGACTTTGCTTCCAAGGACATCTCAACTGTATCAGGAGGGAGGCATCATGACTGAGGTCAGGCTCAGAACCCAGGTCTCCAGTTTCCTGGAAGGGCCCATCCAAAGCAGCACAGGGTAGTCGTTAAGGCTTGGCATTCTTCCTGGTTTGAATACTGAATCTGCCACTTACTGAGTGACACTCACCTGGTTAGTTACTCACTCTGTGCCTCAGTTTCCCTATTCATACATGGTGGTAGTCAGACTTACCTCCTGAGGTTGCAGTGAGAATTTCATTCAATCACTTACGTCAGCCCCTAGCACCATGCCTAACTCATTAGGAGCATTGTAGCCAATGCATTAGGACAAACAGCCACAAGTACATGGCGGCCACTCCCCAGGGAGCCCCCCCCCCAGCCCTAACAGGGGACAGGCCTTTATCCATTGGCCCCTGGACTCCATCTCCCACAACCAGAAGGTGTTTATAAGTGCCTGCCAAGCAAAAGCACAGCCTCTCCCTCAGCTCCCTCCGCCTCCTCCTTCCTCCTCCATTGATTCATTTGTTCATTCTGTAAGCGTCCGACTGTTTGCCGTGGACACCGTGGGCTGGATCAGAGCCGCCTGTGCAAACCTGCTCATTTTCTCAGTCAACCAAGAAGCATCTAGACTCAGCAAAAGCACATTTGTTGTTTGTTTCCCTTGGTCTTTATATGTTACCCAACGGAAGACAAAGCCCCCAGATTGAGTAATGGGAGAGAAAGCTTAACACCCCCAAAGCCTCGCCACATCTGGACTCCATGTCCAGCTGCCAAGTTTCAAATGGATGTGCTATAAAATCACTGAGTCATGAAGTTTCTCTTTCCCGCCCCCTCCTCCGTGTAATACTTTCCCTGAAAACACACACACACCCACATACACACACGCACGCAGGTTGCTGATAGAAACACTAACAGACTCTCAGCTGTAACATCTGTTCAATGTGATCTCAGTTCCACTAGCTACATCAAAGCTGCCCTCCTGCAAGTTATGCAGCCGACATCACAAGTGGGATTAAAATCATGTTTAATAGTTGGATATGACATAAACTATTTATACTTCGGGAGCTTGGCAGACTCCTGGAAATTCATATCCTGCACATCCAGAGGAGACGGGAGAGGAATGGAGAAGGGATGTAGGCATCTCTGAGTCTGGAGTGGAGGTGTGCAGGTAAAACTGGTGTGTGTGTGGAGCCCTCCTGGGACTGCTCTCCTGAGGCTCTTCAGGACAGGCTGGGGACTAAACATATTGTAGAAAGGAAGGGAGAAAGCAGAAGAGAGGCCTCCACCGGCTAAACTGATAATGGCAGGTGTGTGGTGGAGCATCAGGCAGAAAGAAGGGTCCTCCAACAGGTGGGCTCCATTCCCCTGCCTCCCAAGAGCCCAACACTTTGTAAAGGACACTTAGCTAAGGGATGGGCCTTCTATTCCTCAAATTTCTCCCCTAATTCTATGGTGGGTTCCTAGATTCTATTGAAATGACACCTTCACTTCCTCAAACAAAAGCTGGTTTCACAGTATTAGAATTCATCATGTGAGGACACGGGCCAGCTGCATATTGGATCCAAATGACAATCACCAAACCCCTATGCCTCCAGACATGCTTCTCCACAGCAAGGTGCAACCTCCCCTCTGGGTCTCCACAGGTGATCAGCTTAGCCACCAGCCCTGCATGGAAAGMGGGTCAGCTGCCTGATTCAGCCTTGCTCTGGAAGCTGGTGGGCAGCAGCTGGGGAGAGGATGTAGGATTTTCTAGGTGGGTGGGCGAGGGTCCTGGGAGGTGGAAGGAGAGTTCTCATGGCTATTCCTTGCTAGATACATCTTTGTGACCATTTGCATTATTGGTTGAAATAGCCACCTGTGTTAGTCAGCTTTCCACCACTAAAAGAAATACCTGGGATTATCAACTTATAAAAAGGAAACATTGATTTTGTATCAGAGTTTTGGAGGTTCCGGTCCATGGTTTATTGACCCTGTTGTTTTGGGTATGTGGCAAGGTAGCATATCATGGCAGGAGAGTATGGTGGAGCAAGATGGCTCACCTCATAACCAGGAAGCAAAAGAGAGAAAGAGGAAGAGACCAGGATCCCACAGCATTCCCCACCCCCACCCCCCGCCAAAAGCACATGCTCAATGACGGAAAGACCTCCCACTAGGGCCTGCTCTCAAGGTTTCCACCACCTCCCAACAGTACCTTGTAATTGCCCACAAAAAGGTAGCAGACCAGCTGCTCCTGCACCAGATGCTTCCCAGATATGTAGTTCCCATCCTGAACTAGGAGATATTATGAGAATAGGCTTCCAGCATAGGTAACTGCCCACTGCTCAGATCATGGAGTTCTCCCCAGCATCTGCAGATCCTAACAAGTCCAGTGGACACCTCGCAGGACAACACCTATGTTCCCACACTGGCAGTGAAACATGGCACTAGCATGCATGGGGGTCAGTAGTCCTGACCTCACCTCCAGCCTTATTCCACAGCTGCAGGGTCTCAGAACCCCACCTGCCTCAACTAGGTGCCCACACCCAGTGGCCACAGTCTTTTTCCCTGTGCTCCTTTTCCCAGGGAATCAGAGTGATCAGTATTTTTCTTGATGGCCTCTACAGAACTGGCTTCCTTACTTCTTTTTCTGGGCTGAGCGTTCCCTAGCAAACCCTCATGACCTTTCACAATTTGCTTTGCGTGCTGGTGGGGAGCAGCCCAGGGTGCTGGCTAGCACGTGGGAACTGAAGTGCCCTTTAAGTCAGCCTAAAGTTGAAAGCCAGCCTGGCCTCCAGGCTGTGACAAGGGAGAGGGTCGAGCACTGGATCATGGCCTCCTCTCCCCTGGGGTGCAGATGACGCGGGGCAGAGTCTGGAGCTATGGGATCCCAGCAGCAGGGTGACCCAGCCTGGGGGAGGTCGAGAGCAGCTGCCCCTTAGCAGGGCAGGGCCAGGCTGACATGAGGCCATTTGTGGGCTGATCTCCACCTCTCTTCCTCTCTGCTGAAGTCCCCTCAAACTCTATTCCCATTTTTCCACCTCTCAAGTCTGTTTTTCCCTCTCCCTTTTCTCTATTTCTTGTTATTTTGTTTGGAGTTTCTCCTAACACCCTGTCATTTTCTGTCTCCGCCTGCTGGGTCTCCCTTTGTCTTTTCTGCTTTCAGTGAGAAATTTTCCTGTGATTATGCATCGCTGCAAATATGTCTGTYTGTCTYTGTCCATCTCTCTGCTTCTCTAGGTTTCTGTCTCCTTTTTTTACTCTTCTGCATTTCTCAATCCATGTCTGTMAGTCTGTTGTCCACCCGTGTCTCTGTCTCTCTCCCCTCATCTTTGTACCTATCCCTCTCTTTCCCCTCCCTCATCTCTGTACCTATCTCTCTGCCTCTCTCATCCCTCCTCTCTGTTTCTGTCTGTCTGTCCCTCTCTGTAGTCTCTCCCAGGTCTCTGTCACCCTCTGTGTGTCTGTCTCTCCAACATGTCCGTGCCACTCTGCTTGCCTCCCAAACCGTCTGTGCAGATCTCTCTGTGTCTTGCTGTCGCTGGTTCCTGTCTTCCTGTCTCTCTCCCTCTCTCTCTTACTTTCTGTCTCCTCCACCTCCCACCATTTAGCACTTCAGAGTTTGGCTTCTTATCATGTCAAATGAGAAAACTGTAGCCCCAGCCCTGGGAGCTGAGGGACTGGTGACACCAGTCAGGACTCAGTGGAGATGATCATGCTGATGAAAGGCTGTAAATGCCACTTTCAAGTTACCAGATGCCCCAGAACCTTCACACAGAGAGAAACAAACAGACATTTCAAAGACAGGAAGCTGGTATTGAAATGGAGCTGGGGGTCCACACTCCCCCAAACCCTGCACCTGCTTCTCCTCTGCTTCCTGAAGTGTTTTGTTCTGTCCAGAAGCTGGAGGCTGGACAGAATGTTCCTGGGACCCAAACAATGGCAGCTCCCTGAGGGACATTCACTTCAATACCAGGCCTTGAATCCACAGAGGGGCCAAGGTCCCCCCAGGACCCTTGAGGTTTGCACCTCCAGGGAGCAGGAGCCTCCTGCTGAGCCCCTCTTTCTGAAGACCTCAAGCCTGATGGCTATTCTGAGGTCCCCATATGGTGGCATCTCTGGCCTTAACCTCCTTGTGTTCCAGAGGGTCTTTCTGCCCTAAAATTCCACGCCCCCCCCTCCGCCCCGACTACAAGAGAATCTCTTCTCCCTGCAGACCCCCCACTTGTCAACCTGTCAGTGGAACCGCAGCCGGTGCTGGAGGACAAYGTCGTCACATTCCACTGCTCTGCAAAGGCCAACCCAGCTGTCACCCAGTACAGGTGAGCATCACTGCTGTGGAGGCACAGCCTGACCTCAGCCCCCCACCCCATGCCTGTCGTGTAGGATGTCACTTATCGTCCATGCATGGCTACCATGTGTGATTCACTGCAGGTGTCCAGATAGCCTTGTAATCAAATAACCCCCACACCCACCCACCTGCTGGCCAGGTGGACTCTTCCCTTCCTTCATGCGGCACGCATGCCTCTTCCACAGGAGGCAAGATGCTGTGCCCCTCTTGTTCAAACAGCTTGGTTACTCGGTATTTCTGAAAAGAGGGAGAAAGGCTCAGGAACAAAAGTTAAAACACACCAGAAGACTCAGGAGAGTCATTAGACTCTATTTGACTGCTCAGGGTCCAGTGGGAGCTTCAGGACCCATGTGTTCTTGCCACAACATTGATAAAACCATCACTGTTTTTGGGGTTTTTTGTTTTTTTTTTTGTTGTTGTTGTTTTAGTATTAGGGATTGAACACAGGAACTTTTACCCCTAAGCTACATCCCCAGCCCTTTTTATTTTGAAACAGGCTCTCACTCACTTGTATCTTTGCCTCTTAACAGAGCTTCTTAAAGGCAAGAACTGCAATTTAGTCACTTATGGCTCTCAGCATGTAGCCCAGCGCATGGCATCAAASTAGGGCTCCTTATGTGCATCTGATGGATGCGATCTCTGAAGGCCCAGAGCTGCTCCTCTGGGAGCCRCCCCACCTATGTGCATCGCCACACAGGATTCCAGAAACTAAGTGTTCTGAGAGTTCCTCAAATGCAGGCTGAGGATACTTACCTCACCTCCTTTGGATGTTCCTTTGTGATACTCACCAACGCCCTAACTCGGCCCTGTCCTTTCCCACCAGCCCGGGCTCCATGGCAGGGCCCAGGGCATCACCTCTGCCATGGATTCGGTCATTAAGCTGCAGCCTCAGAAAATGCCAAGGAAGATAATGGTCTCGGTCTAGGAAAGCAGCCGGCCTTAGGAAGTGGAGGACTGGGAGACAGGAGGCAACACGGCCCCAGCAGGCAGAAGGCAGGGAAATGGGTCAAAGAGGCAGCCGAGACTCAGGTTGCACATAAGGAACAGCTCCCTGCAGCGTGGATAATTAAGCAGCCTGGGAACAAGGAACCCAGGAAGGGCATGAACCTTTCCCTAAGGACATTTTAAAATAGGATGGAAACCCATCTGCCCTGCCTGATTTAACCCTTCCCTACCCTGGATGCAGTAAGACCGGGTGACCTTCAGGGTCCCTTCCAAGCCAAGGACCCCTGGCTCCCAGAAATTGTGCAACCCACTCAGGTCCAGCAGGCAGGTCTGATATGGCTAGGGTCTGGCGTCTGTCCAGAAGTGACTTAAAGATCCAGAAGGAAAAACCAAGACTCCTTCTCTCTGAACTGTCACCCCAGGCCTGCTGGGCCTGGGCTGCTCTCCTCTGTCTGCTCCCATCCCTGAGTTCATGGTCCCCAAATACCAGGTGTGACATGCCCAGAAAACTCTGCTAATGCCAGTTTCCCAGGGCAGCCCCTGTCACCTAGAGAGCCCCCACCCAGGACCYACCCCTGCCCCATTCACCTTCACAACCAGACCCCACATGCCTGCTGAATCCCAGAGACAGGGACAGACAGATTCCAATTTCCACTTCTTGTCACTGCCAAGATCCTGGTCATCTGAGTACTTAGTGATCAGAGACTGGACACACAGCAGGACAAGACCCAGAAGATAGAGCCTCTGCCAGCAGGCCACCCCACACCGTGGCAGGTTATGCAAATGTGCAGGAAAGGAGGCTGCTGAACCTGACTGCCAGGGCCACCCACTTAAAAAAAACAGCAAGAAGACCAACGATAATAAGGACAAGGTCATTATAAAGCACACGTGGCCAATCGTGAAAACTGGTGAATCTAGGCAAAGAAAASATGGCAGTTAACGGGGCTATATTGTAACTTTTCTCTCATTTTGAAAGTTGGGATTTTTTTCAAATAAAAAGTTAATAAACACACAGAGAACATACAGGTTTCCCTAGACACTAGGATCCTGTGGGATTCCCTTCCTCTCTGTCCCACTCTGGAGCTCAGGGAACCCCAAGCGAGACCCTCGTGTATAGAGGAGCACTGAGGAGCAGGAGGGGCACTAGTTCTTATTCATCACTGTCCCTCATCATCAGCCAAGCGCCCTGAAAACATGTTAGTGCAGGCTTGGGCTCCCTCCAGGATTCCAGAGGCTTTGGGGGAGCCCTCTGGCACCCAGGAAAAGGCAGGACAGTCTGGGTAGGCTGAGCTGCAAAACAAAGGAGGTGGAAGGGCTGTGGAGAGAGGAGGCTGCGGGCACCTGCAGGCACCCGAGCCCACCCACACCTGCTCAGCCCCTCCCCACCCCCACAAGACCTCACCAGATTCTCCCTCTAGATGCAGCGTTGGAACCCAGAGGGAAAAGCCTTAAGCAAATCCCATCACCTAAGTACATTGATTTTTCCCAACTGACTTTGACACGATTACAGGGATCTTTGTTTCTTTATTTTGATTCGTCTTGATTGCTTCCTCTCTGGTCTACCTAAAAGGCTGTAATCTCTGAAATTAGAGATTGGCCCTCCCCCATGCCAACATCCCAAAAGGGGCAGGGCTGGGCAGAGAGGCTGTTACTTCAGCTGCCCCCGGGACCTGGGGCGAGAGGTGCTGTGGGCTTTTTCTTTGGAAGGTTTTTCTGTGTGTCTCCAGCAGACAGCAGGATGGGGGGCTGGCAGTGCCCAGACGAAGCGCAGGGCTGTTCAATGCTCCAGTGTGAGGGCTGTGACATGCCAGGCCTCCTGATTCTGTGATATAAATAATTAATCCTCTTACATTTGTTCAGACCAAATTAGACATTGATTGGGAAAGGCTTAAGCTGACTCCATTTCAGAGGGGCTGGGAGAGGCGGTGGAAGTAACAGCAGATGCACTAGAATGTTCCGACCCCCAAGAGGAAGAGGAGCCACAGACCAACAGGAGGAAAGGGAAGAGATGAGAGGAGGTGGGGGCTCTTTGGTTTCCAGCCCCATGCTGTGGCTGGAGTGCAGTGGTTAGAGCCTTTGGGCTTGTGAAAAGGCCCCTCAGAGGGCTGTTTAGTGTGGGAGGGAAGAAGAGGGGGAGGAAAGACTGGCTGGACAGGCTGAGCAAGATGGGAGCAGAGGTCTCTGGTGGAGTGGAGGGAGGGGTACCACCTCAAAAGGCCCTGGCCTTGGGTTCCTGAGGATCCTAACCCCACAGCCAGCTCCTGCTACAACTCTGAGAGAGCCTCCTCCCTAAGGGTCTGTCAGAAAAGGCCCAACCCCTCCGAGAGGCCCTGGGGAAGGAAAAAACCTGGGCCTGCCCATCAGACCCAGTAATCCTGGCCCCAAGCCAGCCCCGGCCTCAGCCCCAGTCCCCTGGTGCTGAAAGCAGCCAGGAGCAGGGGCCTGACTTGGGTAGAGCAGAGCTTCTTCCTGCCCTCCCCACTGCTCCAACCCCCTCGCTTCAGCCGAGTAGAAGAAATAGGGTCTGGACACAGATCCTCGGCTGTGTGTCTGAAACTGAATTAATCCACCTCAGGCAGGGGCCGTGCCTGACTATTAAGTCTGGTCATTAAATTAAACTTAGGAATTGAAACGATTCATGAATAACTCATAATGGTTTGTTGGGAAGCTCCTTAAGCTCTCAGGGAGCTATGCTTTGCTCTTGTTGTTAAACCATAATTGTTATTATTAATCGGGTTCTTAATAATTACCCGATATTAATTCAAGATAACCACCGCGTGGTGCCAGCCTAGGTGTTCCATGGGATGCACAGGAGTGGTGTCTTTCGGGACTAGACCAGACTGGGCCAAGAACTGATGGAGGGGAGGGAGGAGATGGGACTCAGTAGTACCAGGAAAGATCCAAGAGCACAGGAAGGGGAAGAGAGCAGCCAGCAGCCACAGGGGAGCTGTGGCTGTAGGGCACCATGGTGGAGGCTGAGCAGCCTCTCCATCTTCAGAAAGATACAGCCCTAAAGCAGCCTTGAGCTACAATAGGAGGAACCTGGTTAGAAATTCTGTGATTTCAAAGAGAGGGACTGTTGTCCGTAATAGGATTGATTATATCAGGAAAGTGGTGAGCTCTCTCTCCTTGGAGATCTGCAAGGAAAGGTCCCACCTTCACACACGTGCACACGCACATGTGTACATGCTCATACCCACGTGCAAAGGCTCACATGCACACACATTCTCGATGCATGCAAGCACCCTTGTGGGGCTGCAGCTCTGCAGACACATAGAAGGGACCTGGTGGCTGGTCCAGTGCAGCAATTGCCATCCCAGGGTCAGTCAGAACCAAGCCAAGCCTAAGGCTTTTCAGTCTCTGCCACCTCCATTCCCTGTGGTACTGACTGGCATCTGAGAGAAACCTCCTGTCTGCCCCCCCACTCTGAATCAAGGTTGATGGAGATGTGACCTTGTAATAATAAAGGCAGGTGAGAGAGCAGAGGCTGAGGAGGAATCAGAGCAAGTGCCAACCCTGGGAGAGGTTGAATGGACTTCCAGGGAGAGCAGGAGCACCAGACGGGCTCTGCCCTAAGAGCAGGAGTCAGGACTGAGAGCTGAGAGAGGGGGGCATGTGGGAAGAGAGGGACAGGCAGGCACCTCACACCCCTCCCACATCTCACTGTGCTTGAAAACCAAACTTCCTGGGGCCCCAGTTTTCTCTTGTGTGTGTAGGGACGTGTGTGTCCACATGCACACTGGTGCATAGGCATGTAATCGTTAGACCTTGAACTCCCAGGGCATAGATTCATACCCCTTGTCCAATGTTTCCCAGGGTAGGGCCTATGACAGAGCTCAGAGCAGGACAGCCAGGCTATTTGGTGTCCAACAGTTGGGTTGTCCATGGTCTAGCCAGGCAGATGGGCTGGCCAGCCCGATAACCAAGATACCTCCCTCCAGAATAACCCACTTGTCAAATGCCACTGACTATGGCCCCAAAGCCCACCGCCTGCATGACCTATGGGAGGGTGCAAGTCCAACTCCTCCCTGAGCCTTTGAAATAACCCCTGTGCAGAGACAGCCCCTGTGAGAGCTGCTTTCTTGTGGGATGAGGGCATCCAGCTCCCTGAGGGATGGCCTTGTATTCGAGATGCACCCAGCACCCTGGCCTCTGTTGCAGATGGGCCAAGCGGGGCCAGATCATCAAGGAGGCCTCTGGGGAGGTGTATAGAACCACTGTGGACTACACGTACTTCTCAGAGCCTGTGTCCTGCGAGGTGACCAATGCTCTGGGCAGCACCAACCTCAGCCGCACGGTGGACGTCTATTGTGAGTACAGAAATTGGGAGCTTCTCTGCATGAGCAGAACTGGGTAGTCTCTGGCTGGAGGAACCATGGCTGGATTCATTGCATGCAACATAAACATCATGCTTCCCAAGCGTACAGTGCATTGTACTTTGCAAAAAGCTTCCTTGTCTAGGGTTTCATGCTGATTTTGATCTTCAGAATGACCCAGCTCAGACTGCTATAACAAATTACCRTAGTTTGGATGACTTAAACAACAGAAACCAGAGTGCCAGTGTGGTTGGTTCTGGTGAGGGCTCCCTTCCTGGCTTGCAAACAGCTGCCTTCTCACCTGTTATCACCTGGCACAGAGAAAGAAAGGAACCAAGCTCTCTTCTGTCCCTTCTTAGTTGTTGTTGTTTATTTGTTTTCTCAGTATTGAGGATTGAACCCAGGGGCACTCTACCTCTGAGCTACACCCCCAGACCTTTTTTTTTTTTTTTTGAGACACAGACTCACTAGGTTGCCAGGCTGACTTTAAGTCTGTGATCCTCCTGCCCCAACCTCCTAAATAGCTGGGATTAGAGGTGTGTGCCACAGCACATGGCTTCAAGCACATTTTCTAGGGATGGTACTGCCTACTCCTTGTGGACCTAAGAAAGGCTGAGTGTGGGGGACAGGGGTCTCCTTCTCACTTCCCAATCCCACTCCCAGACCCCAGGTCCAGCCCAGGCAGAAGGGTAAAGGAATGAGCCGAGTGGATTGAGATGGCCCAATACCCTGCTCTTTCCTTTCTTCCTGTCACAATGAGGGGGGCAGCAGGAGGGTCATGGGAGCTCCCCAGCCCACCTGAGGCCTCTCTTCTTCTTCCTCCCCATCACAGTTGGACCCAGGATGACCACAGAGCCCCAGTCCCTGCTCGTGGATCTGGGCTCTGATGCAGTCTTCAGCTGCGCCTGGATTGGCAACCCGTCCCTGACCATCGTATGGATGAAGCGGGGCTCTGGCGTGGTGAGTCCACCACATTGACCCCAGGGGACCTCTGGCAGGGTGGGGGCATAGTAGACAGGAGGACCCCTCTCATAGTTAGATGAGGAGAGTCAGCCTCCAGAAGAGGATCCCATAAAGAGGAGAGGGAACCCAGGTGCCCACCTGTACCCATCTCACCCTGAACACATTCGGCTTTTGCAATTTTGCCCTATGGTGAACCTTATAAAGGCAGGTAGTCAGTAATATGGAGTTGGGGGAAGTCACTTGAAAGACTTTTCAGTTCCCTCCTGGTCCAAAATGTTACCCCTAACCTTGGAGTTACCCTGTGCTTTCTTCCTGGGGTCTTCTTTTGAAATGTATGTATTCTGTAGTGTTCATGAGTTTGCCAGACGACCCTCCACAGGGACAGCAGTGAGGACCTTGGGTCAGGAAGGAGAGGGAGACAGAAGGAACTGAGCCTCTGAGACGGCCAGTAACCGACCAGAGCCACACAGGTATTAGCTGCCAGAGCCAGGACTCAAACACTGACCTATCTAATGCCAAAATCTACTTTCCTGTCATCGCCCCAAACTGTGTCCCAAAGGGATACTGAACCTGACTCAGACAACACAGGTCCAGGACCCTCCGCCATTCAGCCACAGGGTAATCTCATCCATGGCCAGCCTGGGAGAGGATGAGCCATTGAAGGTAGAGGATGGTCAGCATCCCCTCTCTCTGGGAAAGCTGGGGGTACCCAGCCAAGGAGTCCTCCCTCCACACACTGCCCACAGGGCTGCACCTGGACGTACTGCAGCAGTGTCTCTGTGTAGGTGGGGGCTGCTCTCCACATCCACAGGGCCCAGTCTGCCTACTGCCTTCCCACCCGGGGTTTTACCAGGACACTGTCACCTACTTACTACCAGGCCTGCCTCTCAGCCACCAGGTTGAGAGACAAAAAGAGAGAATCCCCCCCCCAGCTCTTTGTGAGTGACCTTCCCCCATTTTTCCAGGTTCTAAGCAACGAGAAGACCCTGACACTCAAATCTGTCCGCCAGGAGGATGCTGGGAAGTACGTGTGCCGGGCCGTGGTGCCCCGGGTAGGAGCTGGGGAGCGTGAGGTGACCCTGACTGTCAATGGTAAGACCCCCAGGGGGGTGGGCTGGGGCAGGGGGTGTACCAGGCATTGCCCCAAAGGGACTGTCACTGGCTCTGGGCCTTGCTACCACCTCCAGCTATGGTCCTCAGTAGTTATGTCTGCCCCTTTTGGAGTCCTGGTCAGAGCCAAGTTTGGAGGTGAAGAAGAGCCTGGAGGGTTTTCTGATCACATCTCTCCTTTCTGTTATGTCTAAAGGGGTCTCATAGTAGCTGATGATTTTTTATCCTGGACAGGAAAAGAGTCAGAGGTCACCTTGTGACCATATCCCTTGTCTGCCCTTTGATCTTGACCTGGCCATGGGGATTTTAAAGGCACATCCCCCACTTTTATGGCCATCACACAGAGCCACTCAGCCATGGAGAGCTGTCACCACCCCAGGGACCAGGTGTGTAGGGGCCTCTTGAGGGCAAGGAACATGTCTCACTATACACAACGACAATAATGACAGCAGGACAGTGTTGTAAGAGTGGGAGTCAGTCAATAGCTAGGGTAGAGGGGCAGGATCTTCAGATCAGATCTGGCTGCCGATGTGGGTGGCCATGGAGAAGCTGGGACCTAGCCCAGGCCAGACCCAAGAAGGTGTGGTGCCAAAACAGAAACCCCAATGTCCCCACTGTGATGTGTGCTTGGGCTGTGATAAAGCTACCCATTGGAGAGGGTGAGAGACACCAAGGCCATGTCCCTCAGCCACCTCCAAGGGTTTGACCCCATTTCTGGTGTGGTCATGATCCTTTGGGAGCCCCCTGCTCCCACCAAAGGCTGCCTGGGATCAAAAACCTAAGCCACAGACCCAGCTGTGTAGGCCTCTAGATCTGGCTCCAGAGCAGGGGCCTGGGAGGGGACTCGCTGAGGGAAATCAGCCTGTTGGCTTCATCTCCACCCAGGGAGCTGCCCACTGACAGCCTCATCTAGTCTCCCCCTTTGCTAGAGAACTAAACCAGCTTGGTGCCTCCTCAGCATCCCCCTCTGCGTTCCCATTAGCCAGCTCCCATTCCAGGTGTATTTCCTTTCCTCTGCCTCCCCGACAGGTATGGCAACCCCAGAGAGAGGGTGAATCTGCCCAGACACCAGAGCGTTCACAGACCACCTGTCCAGGGCAGAACCCCAGCTCCAGAGCGCTCCAGCCTTCCTGTGTGTCCCCAGGATGCCACCAATAAATTGGCACTGCAGGGCTAAAAATAACAGCATCTGATCGCGCCTCCGTATATCCATGGCAACACAGGCTGCAGCCTTTTCCTGCCGTGCCAGTGTCTGACACTCGGCTCAGTGCACCAGGCCACAGTGAACCAGCCATCTTCCCACTGCCCACTCTGGGGAGGGCGCTGGGGAGTCGGGCTGTCCACGCCTGCTGCCAGCTGCAGTCCACACGCCTGGGACCCTCAGACTCACAAGTGCCTTCCAGGGTCCTGGAGCCAGAAGCTATTAACTGAGCATCCTGGTTTCTGGGGAAAAGGGTGAATAAGGAGGGGCTGACATCTTTCTGTCACTTGTAGACATTCAAGCACTTTAATGGAAATTAAAAGAGGTTTTGTTTTGTTTTGTTTTTAAAGAGTAGAAATCCCCACCCCAACCTGCACCCTGGGGAACTCAAGCTTTGGGCTGGACACAGCAGCCTGGGCCCTGGCATTCACCTGGGGTTTAATTTTTCCATCTCTCTCTCAACCTCCACGTCTTTCAGCAAGTGCCTCCCCTAGGTTGCCAGGCAGAGAAAGGCTGAAGGGATTGAAGTAAGGAAACTGCTGTTTACTTCTGCCAGTCTAGGGCTGCCTGGCACTGGGGCAGGAGGCTGGACGAAGTGGCTCAGGGAGAGGAGCCTGCCAAGACCCCTTCTGTCTCCAGCTTTGGAAAATAGGTGGACGGGTAGTGAAGCCCTCGGACAGGGGCCAGGCATGTGTCAAAGGCATGTGATGGCATAGAAGCATCCAGAATGAACTGAGTTCCCATCACAATAAATCCCTGTTCCTGGGCACCTGCAGGCCAGAACCCTTTGGGGAATGAATTGGCACGGATCTCAACTGAGCTTGCTTAAACCAGGTAGCTGCAGGAAGGGGAAGATATTTGCCATTGGCTGACTCCCCCAATCCCATTTTTTTTATCCTGGCTTTTGTTTTCACTTAAGGAGCCCATAAATGCATAGGCATTTGCTGATAGTTTTTAGAATCTTGTGAACCCCTCTGGGAATTCCTAGTTCCTGGGAAGTGAAAGGAAAAGATTTTATGGTATCATCACTGTTTAGCCCAGCAGCAAATCAAAGAACCATCCATGTTCCAGAAACATAGAGTCTCATCTCTTTGGACCAAAGGCCTCTTGGAGCTAAAGAGATTTAAAGGCGGAAGGCAGGGCTCAGCCCACTCTTACAGCCATCTGAAGGTGGAAGTCCCTGCCCTGAGGTTACCCACCTCTTCCCAAGCCCTTTGTATCCTAACCTCAAGAGAAGCCATGGGAGTGGCTCCCAATACCTTTTTTCCCTTGGCTGAGAGCTACTCATGGAAATGCAAATCTGTTTTAATTAAGGTGGCTAATAAACAGCAATTATGTTTGCAGCGATTTTTGTTTTGTTCCCAGCATAATTTTGCACATTCTCCCCATCATTACTCTTATCTGTCTTTCCTAAGACATCAACCCTGAGATGGGGAAGGGAGTTCAACCACACCCCATCCCCAACCACTTATCCCAGCTAGAAAATTAGCTGAGCAAATGGTTGTAGTAGCTGTTTCTCTTTCCCACTTTCAATGTCAGGTTGGGATCACACAGAAAAGACTTAGGTTAGATAACTGGCAGAACTGGAAAAGAAGCACTATAGACAAGTTCTGCTTCGGGTGGACTCTCCCTGTTGCCTGATGTGCTAAATGTGACAGGCACTCTCAGAACTTGCCACCCATAAACATGTCGTACCTGCATGCATATTGAATGGGATAATATTGAGGTTAGTTTTAGAGCTGTGGTCTCACTAGGGCCATCTACGTATGTGTGTGGAGACAAGATTATAAACTACAGGATCTACTGAGACACATATTGGATTAAGATAGTGAACATGGGGCTGGGGATATGGCTCAAGCAATAGTGCGCTCGCCTAGCATGTGCAAGGCACTGGGTTCGATCCTCAGCACCACATAAAAATAAAATAAAGATATTGTATCCACCTAAAGCTAAAAAATAAATATCAAAAAAAAAAAAAAGATCGTGAACATGGCCAACACATTTCACCTATCCTGGGTGATTTTGGCCCCTGGTAGAGGGACAGCACCCTTTTTCTTCCTCTGGAGGAACCTGGCCGAATACGGCCAGTTTGTTAGGCAAGAGCGCCCTCTACTGGAGAATTGAGAAATAGCTTGAACTCTAACAGCTGCCTAGGCGGGCGACATTCATTAGGGCTGTTCTCCTTCATCATGACACCTACCCCCATTCTGGAGCTTCCCAGGTTCACCACCTCCTTCCTAAAGCTTTCCCAGAACGCCAGATAGAATTATTCTCTCTCCCCTGAAGTCGGTTGGCAGTTTATCTGCACTGCTTCTGTGCTATGAACGCTCACCACCTTTTATTACAGTTATTTATGTCTTCTGGGGATTCTGACTTAGAAGCATTCACTCATGATCCCTTGAGAGGTTTACGACTTAATGCCTAATTTATCTTCAAGTCGCCTACCTTGCACTCTGCCTTGCACATGTGAGCCTTCCGTAAATGTTTGCTGAATGCTTGGATTAATGAGTACACTTTTGAACCCACCACAGAGGGTGCCAGCTGGAGACCTGCCCTTCCTGGATCCCTAATGTGTTGCTGTCTCCCCAACAGGACCCCCCATCATCTCCAGCACCCAGACCCAGCACGCTCTCCACGGTGAGAAAGGCCAGATCAAATGCTTCATCCGGAGCACACCGCCACCAGACAGAATAGTGAGTGCTCCAGGGAACAGGGCAGGCCTGGCGCCCCCACCCCCAGCAGCCCAGGGGTCACCTCTGCCAAGAGCCCAGCAGTCAGCCAGTGGGGATACACCTCCCAGACTCACTTTCCTCAAGGAAAATCATACCTACCTTCTCTCTCTTGGGAACCCATCCTGAGAACAATTACAGGCAACCTCCCTTCTTGGATCAGGAGTGTTCCCAGGATGTGTCTGCCGTTTGGCTGAGTTCAGGGTTAATGATTCTAACCAAATCTGCATCCTGGGGAAGAGGGGAAAGATGAATGATTTCTTCTGTTTCCTGGGTTCAAGGCCAGTCTGGCAAAATCATAAGCTGAGTGGAGTTTATAGTTGGCTACTGCTTTCTGTGCCTCCCAGAGCCCTTCTCTTAAAGAGTCTCTTCTGCCCTTAATGGCAACAGGGAACCCCTCATCCTGCACCATAAGTGCTCCCCTCTGAAATGACTGATCCATTCTTCCCTTCCTCCAGCTGTACCCTGCAAGACAGTCAAGGCACCCTGTGAACTGTTGCCCACCCTTGCTCCCATTCCCAGGTGTTTGCATTTTTTTTAAAGAGAGGGTCTTGCACCCAAATCCATCTGAAATTGGCAGAAGCTCAGGCATGAAAGTAATGAAAAGAGAGCACTCGGTAGCACAATTGGGGACAAGATATTATTTCAGCAATCCCCAATACCTAAGAGAGTCCTGCTCTAAGACTGCCCAGGGTCAACTCCACAGGGAAGTCCCTCCTTTCCACAGGGCAGCAGTGCCTGGAGAGTGGTGTCGGGTGGGGCCAGGTGCTGAGCTTGTGAGAGCCTGTGTGTGCCTGAGACATCAGTCTGTGCAAACAGTAAATGTCATCTTAGTAAACTAAGATTTTATTAGAATGTTATTGCTCTTACACATTTTCTCAGGCATTCTGTTCATTCATTGTTTGAAAGATTCACCAAAAGATTGTAAAAACTCCCACACTGAACTAATACCTATGCCTCTCCATTCACTTTACTTTTTAATTTTTAAAAAAATTATAAATGTAAGCCCACACATCTGTAATCCCAGTTATTCAGAAAGCTAAGGCAGGAGGATCACAAGTTTGAGGCCACTTACTGAGACCCTGGGGCAACTTACTGAGACCCTGTTTCAAAACAAAATATAAAAGTGCTGGGGGTGTAGCTTACTGGTAGATTCCCAGACTTACCTAGCATGTGAGAGGCCCTGGGTTCGATCCCCAGCACCACACACACATAATTCATAAATATAACACATGCCCCTTGTAAAACATCCCATCCAATAACCCTTGAGCATTTTCACACCATCGTTCTCTCACAGATACCTAACTGTAACCTAGTGATTCTCAAGTGGCAATTTGTCCCCCAGGGGATATTTGGCTGTCACAACTTTGAAGGTTGATGCTGGTGCTTAGTGAGTAGAAGCCAGGGCAGCTGTGAACAGCCTGCCGAGCACAGGGCAGCCCCAGCACTAAGAAGGGGTTGGTCCAGAGTTTGAAAAGCCCTGCTCCAGCTCACCTGGATGGAGCCTCTGGGCACTACTGGCACGACTGAGTTCCCATGAACACTGCGAGCTGTTGTGTGCAAGAGACACCTTGAGGTGTTTGCAATGTTCATGGAATGACTCTGAAAACAATTAAATTATCTTCCCTGTAAACTTTTGAAAAGGCCAATTCACAACACTAGATGAATCATTCTGGGCTACCTCAGGCTGAGTGAGTTAGCAGCACGGCACAGGGTGCCCATGAGGAGGTCCACATGGGAGAAAGACACACACAGGGCTCAGCTTGTCACCATAAGAGTCCCTCTTTGCCAGAAAATGTTCCAAATGCAGTTGTGCATAAGGCCCTCCTTGGAAGGAAATGGCCTCTGAGATGACCCTAACTTCTGTGTGTACATGCGTATATGTGTTTGTGATGTGTATACATGTATATGTGTATAGTGTGCTATATATGCATGTATATATGTGTGAATATATGCTGTGTGTGTAGTGTATATACATGTAGTACACATATATATGTATAGTGCAGTGTGTATGCATGTGTTTGTAGTGTGTGGTATGATAGACACACACATGTACCTGTATATATATATATTGGTGATGTGCCTGTATGTGTGAGTTGTGATGTTTATACGTGTTTCAGTATATGCAGGTGTGGATGCATGTTTGTGGTGTATGGTACATGTGTGTACCATGATATGGGTGGTATGCTATGTGTATACATGCATGGTGATGTGTGATGGTGTGCACTGTTTTATATATGTGATGTGTGTGCAAGTATTCATGTGTACACATATTGGTAGTGTGTGGCAGTAAGCATGAACTTGAGCCTGGCCGTATCAGTGCCTGGGGTGGGGAGGTGACATTGAGGTCCTGGCATGGGCAGCCTATAGGGGTCTCCTACTAACTCTGGGCACCCTGGCAGGCCTGGTCCTGGAAGGAGAATGTGCTGGAGTCGGGGACGTCTGGGCGCTACACAGTGGAGACGGTCAGCACGGAGGAGGGTGTCATCTCCACCCTGACCATCAGCAACATTGTCCGGGCGGACTTCCAAACCATCTATAACTGCACCGCCTGGAACAGCTTTGGCTCTGACACCGAGATCATCCGGCTCAAGGAGCAAGGTGAGGGCCACCAGGGCCACCAGAGCAACTTGGGGACCAGCAGGGTGCAAGGCAGGTCCGAGAACCAGTCACAGCATTCTTTACCTGCCACACAGCCCCCACTGGCTCCCCTCTGAGGCAAGGGGCACCAGCCCCATCAGGAAGCCAGAAGGGGAAGAAATTTCTGGGAGTGACAGAATACTTCAGGGAAAGGTGACCACAGAACGAGCTGGGCTGACCAGTCTTGTTGAGATGCCCAGAAGCTTCCAAAGGCCCTGGCCTCCACACCCTCTGCCCTTCCTTGTAGGCGCTGGTCTGATGCCAAAGTGCCCTTATGACAGGGTAGAAGTCCAGCAGGGGGTGCCAAGCTAAAACTGGGGGGGTGCCTGAGGGTCCAGATCCCTGGTGTGGGGAGGCAGGACCCAGACCATCAGCAGTTCCAGGACTAGACACGTGGACCACAGAGCTATAAAAGGAAGACTGGGCAAAGGGTGCAGAACAGCCAGGTTGGCATGAAGGGAGGAAAAAGAGTCCCCCACTGTGACCCCATGCATAGACTGTCCCAGCTCCTTGTCAGACAGTTGCTAAGAACTCCAGTCTCTGCTCAAAGTTCCTGGGCACCAACTACCAGGTGGAGAACCTCAAAGGGCCACTGTGGGCTGGTTGCAGAGAAGCTCCACATGCAGCCAGCAGCGCGGCTGCTCCTGAAGTGGGCCGTGGAACTTGCCCCTGGGCCAGTCAGAGCTCAGCCAGGGAGGTCCCGGGATGGTGTTCAGCCAGGTTGGGCCTCCCCAAAAAAGATTCAGGGCCAAGCAGTTGGTCCCAGCTGAGCCCCTGAGGCCTCTAGGGATCACATGGCGATCGCACCTAAGGGTCAAATCTCAGAGTGTCTCCTACCTCCTCTACCTTAATAGGAGCTGCTTTGCATAACGCTTTGCACATAATTTGCATAATATCATCCACCTGTCATCCTAACCCTCCTGGCCCCCTGTTGCCTACCCTCCTTGTCTTCCCCTTGGTGCCCCACCCCCGTGCCCTCACCTTGGTGTTTTCACCCACCCTCACACCCCCTCCCAGGCTTGACTTTTCTCTCTCCACCCCCCTCTGGAGTGTCCAAGTCAGTCTGAATGAACTCCAAGTTCAGTTGGGCGAGCCTGGATCTCTGGGGCAGTCCAGGGATGTGATGGAGGAGGGAGCCCCCCCTTGCCCCAGCCCCCTCCAGGTGGCCAATCCCTGCCCACCCCACCCTGGCCAGCCAGGCCCTGGCTATGGACGCTTGCTTTATTTCCAAACAGGTTCAGAAATGAAGTCGGGAGCCGGGCTGGAAGCAGGTACGGAAGGAGATGTTGAGAACTTCCCTGGGATGGGGGAGGGACTTCTTGGCTAGTGGGGGAGGGGACTGACATGGGGTAGGGAGGCCTTAGCAGGCCACTAACATCCCTGCCCTCCCTACATGGGGGGCTTAGTGCAGTCAGAACAGCGGGAGAGGGCCTCCCAGCCAACTGGGGTCTAGGGACCCCAGAGACCTGTCTCCTGTCTGCTGCCATGGCCCCAGGGCTCCTTCCTCCCCAGGACACTGGCTCCGCTCCTGTCCCCTCCATTCCTTCTTTCCCTTCTCTTCACAAGCCCCAGCCCCTGGCCCCCCTGTATTTCCAAGCTTCCCCGACTTCTCCCCCATTGCCTCCCAGGAAGCCTGCCTCCCAACCCCTGCTGCAGCTTGCTTAACCCTGCTTGCTGGCATTCCGCCTCCTCCCCCATGAAGTGTCATCTCACCACCAGGCGGAGGCTGCTGGGCAATGCACACACCCAGCCCCCACACCCCCTGCATCTGCAGCAGAGTGGTCATCAGACTCCTTGGAATGAGTTGCTCTGTCTAGACACTTGTACACACACACACACACACACACACACACACACACACAACCAGGACAGGGTAAATCAGACTCCACAGGGCCAAATAAGTTCTCACCAAGGACTCAGGGGGTCTTCTGTCTCAGTTTTCTGCCCATTCTGGCCCCTGGCCCATGTTACCCCTCCAGGTGGGCCCACATACCTCTTCTCTCTGGGCACAATCCAGGGCATGGCCAGCTCACAGCCAACCCATGCAGCCCACACAGAGCTGGCCCCAGCTCTACTATCTGGACTCCCTCACCTCTGGTGGCTCCGTCCTGTCTCCATTCCATGTCTGTCTGTTCGCACTCATCTGGAGTTTTCTGACACTTTCTTCCCACGGTGTCTGAGACTCCTCATGCCCAGTCCCCCTCCTTGGATGGAGTCGAGGCTGAGAGAGGGCAGCTTCCCCTCCTCACTCCTTGAGGAGGAAGAGGAACTGCCTGCCCAGGCTGCCTAGGCCAGACTCCGGAGGCCAGGCAAGGAAGAAACACCAGGAAGAGGAAGGGATGCCACCCAGAGCCCTGCCCCACCCAGGCCCCCTCCTCCTCCACCCTTGCCCACCTGCTTGGAAACAGTTCTCCAACCAAGATGGCAGCTCCCTCACCCTGGAGCAGCTGCTAACTACTCCAGGAAATACAGACTCAAGAATGCCACTAGTCAAAAAGGACCTTAGATACTGCTGCCCCAGCTCTGTGGATTTACAGATGAGAATCGAGTCCGGGGATGTGAGGACAAGTCATGACCTGGCTCTGAGTTCAGCTGAGACAAGCCCTGAGTTTTTCCAAGAAAGTTTACTAGGAATCAGAGGTCAACCAAATCAAACCCCAATTTATAAATTTGAAAAGCAGAGAACCAATGAGTTGTCAAAGCGGTTTTCCTTTCCTAATGGAATTAAACCAAGAGACAGTAGCATTTGTTTGTCAAAGCAAACTCCCTGAGGTCATGTCCCTTTCCTCGTTCCTGACTGTTAAAAAGCAACCCAGATGCTTCCCTTTCCAACCTGAGTGTTTGCTGTCCCCACTTCCTGCTGGTCACGTCCTCTGTCACTTCTGCAGTGGTCTCGGCCACCCATAGGTAGATAACACGTGGGTTAGTGTGCAGGTCCAGGGTGGCAAAGGAATGGACCAGCTTAATCACACACTGCCAACAAAGAGGCACCAGCTCCTGTAGGTTAGTGTCCCCACCACCTTCCACACCCTTCCAGCAGTGCCTTGGGGACCCAGGTGTGAGGGTTTGTTCATCTCATCCTATCAAGAAAACACCCAGGGACTGAGGTTGGTAGAGTATTAACCGAGCATGTGTGTGCCCTGGGGGTCCATCCCCAGCACCATGGTAGGTGGACCACGGTCCAGAGCAAACACCACAGTGTCACAAAGTCCATCCACACTGATGAAGGTGGGGAGGGGGGCGACGAGGCTCAGTCTTTCAGAGGAGCGTGCTTCTCCTTAAGGTTGTGATCTGCTATAGTCAGCCCTTCCTGAACAACAACAGGAACAAACACTGGCATTAGGGCTGGATGCCGGGCCCTGCTCCAAGGCCTTCCTACACAGTCCTTCGTCTCAGCCCCGCAATAACCTTCTGAGGCCAGCACTATTATTACCCACCTTTTGCAGACAAGAGAAGTAGAGTTAGCTTGGAAGAACTAATGGATCCAGGACTCCAGCAGCCAGCAGTCTGGGCTGGATAGTTACATGTTAAGATTTGGAGGATGCCATGTGACACAGTGGACCGAGCTGGATGGGATGGGGGCAGTAGGAGGAGACCTGGATTTACCTTGGCTCTACTGCAGCTGTGTGTCTTTGACCAAATCACTTGACTTTTCTGGGGCTCAGTACCTCTGTCTGCAAATGGAAACCTTGGATTCAGTGAGCCCCAAGGTCACCAGCCCCAACATTCTCTAGTTCTATTCCTGATGTTCATTTGGGGGGTTCCAAATTGTGTGTTCAGGCCACATATCAGTCACAGAAGGGCCAGGGCTGTCTGGTAATGCAACCCCTCTTCACCCCCCAATCCCCACAGCTGGGCCAGGGGACAGACTGCAGGCAGGGACTGGGGGCTGGCCTAGCTGGGGTTCCCCAAATGCTCTCACACTGCAACAGGTGCCAGGTGCTCAGAGAGCTGGAGGAGCAGGCCGGTCAAGGGGAAAGGTCATTTCTCCTTAGAGAAGTGGGGTAGGGAACTCTGATCCTGCCCCCTGGCTCCTGAGATATGGATACCTGGGGGATCCAGCCCATGATGCCCTGCAGGCCCTGAGGGGAGGCTGCCTCCAACCTGGAAACTAACAGCTGGTATCCGCACGTATCCTCCACGTACCTGGGGAAAGGAAGAGAAGGAAGGAACAAACTGGACAAACAAGGGCTGTGACCATAGTCATTTTTCAAAGAAAAACCAGGACTTATGACTCACCAGCCACCACATGACAAATTCCTTGTTTAATGCCAAAGAACAATAAATTACGCCCGCCTCACCCTGTATTTGCAGTGTTCCTCTCCCCCGCCCTCCCTTCTCTGTGTCTGCTCCAGCGTTTGTCCCTCCTTCCTGTTCCTCCACACTCTCCCCTCCACTTTGTGTCCTCCACTCCCATCTCCACAGTCCCACTCAGAGCTGACTCTGGGGGGACTCTGCCTGTGCCTTTCCAGGCCCCACCAAGGTATTACCCAGAAGGGCCCATGTGGCAGTGGTCTGGCCCCAGCTTGACAGGGGCTGCACGGAAGGGGACTGGGTGAGGTTCTGGGGGGACAGTGTCCTGTCCCCTGTCCCTCATCAGCCGTGCCTGCTTCTCTCCCACAGAGTCTGTGCCGATGGCCGTCATCATCGGGGTGGCCGTAGGAGCTGGTGTGGCCTTCCTCGTCCTAATGGCAACCATTGTGGCCTTCTGCTGTGCCCGTTCCCAGAGAAGTACGGGAGGGAGACCCGGGATCTCAGGGAGGGGGACAGAGAAAAAGGCCAGGCTTAGACTTCCCCGGAGAGCAAGTAAGCAGGAGTGCAATGAACCGGGGCCCTAACAGTGCTGTGAGCTCCTGGGGCAGGGATGGGTCTGACGTGGTCATTTCATTTGCAGTGCCTTGTGGGGTGTCTGCACTCAGTGGGCATGCAGCTGAGGTTGAACTGCACTAGACTGACCTTCATCCAGCATGGAAGGCAGCCAACAATTTGGGTTGGACAAATATGTCCCTCTCGTCACGGAGAGTATACAGATCCGGGGGAAAGAAGTGGCTTGCTCTGCCAGGGCTGCAAGTCTAACCTGAAAAGCCAGTCACCTACCCAGGGGGGGGGAAAAAAAAAACATTCAAGGAATTGCTCTGAAGAATCCTTTGCACCCAGATCTCCATACTGGGCTTAGCTCTGAAGTTGTGTGACTGACAGACAGGTGCAAGGGGAAGACAGAATGGCAGAAGTGAAGGCAGTAGAGGTGCAGGCCCCTAGTTCCACCTCTTCCTCCATGTGATTCAGGGAAAAACCACACCTATTCCTGGCCTCAGTTTCCCCATTTGTGATATTAAGGGGTTGGATGACTGAAGTTTTATGACCCTACTTGGCTCTAAACTTCGATGAGCAGAAAGCACAAAGTGAATCACCAATATTATAAGTCTGCTCCTTCCACCACTCAGCCCTTACATGTTGGAAGGAATCCAGGGTTCCCCTTACATTTTCTCCAGTCTAGCTAAGCAGCCCTGGTTCCCATGATTACCCCCAATTATGCTCTCTCAGGACCTCCCTTACTGCCTTCCAATAGAAATTATAGAAGAATATATTTTAGCAAGAATTTTCTCAGAAAGCTCTCCAGCTAGAAACAGGCTACCTCTTGTAGAAAGAGTAAAGTTTCCATCATGGAAGCTTCAACAGGAAAAGCTGGACCCCTGTGTGTTTGTTTCTGCTCTGGGTGAGGGGTTGGCTATGAGATCTTAAAGTCCATTCTGATACTAAGTCATGGTTCTGTGAATGGAGAGAACAGAGCCTGGTAGAATGGGTCAGAGAAGCTTCTAGAAGGAAGTAAGGATCAATAAGGTGGATGATGGATGAGGACCACCTCTCCGGCCAAGGGGAAATGCCTAAGGTGCATGCATCAGAGAGCCAGGCGGCCCGTGTGTGGCTGGTCTCTCCGGAGGCCCACATAGTCCACAGCATATCCACACAGATGTTCTATGGGCAGGGGGTTGGGGGGCGGCTGGTGAAGCTGCTGAGTTCAGGGGTTGAAGGGAGGGTGAATCCTGCAGGGTGGTGGGGTGAGGGGTGGCATCAGGCAATTGTGGGGGAGCATGACATCTCGGGCCTTGATCCCTGAGGGTGAGAACTGAATTTGTCGCCTACACTTTCCTATTTTATGTCCAGACCTGAAAGGGGTTGTGTCAGCCAAAAACGATATCCGAGTGGAGATTGTCCACAAGGAGCCTACCTCCAGTCGGGAGGCAGAAGAGCACTCCACCATCAAGCAGCTGATGGTAAGAATGCTGCCCATTCTCCACCATACCCTGTGACCATGTCCCCAGAAGGCCCTGGGATTGGAGGCTTCTCAATGTCCTTGACACTTCTGAGAAGCAGAGCATCAGTCGAGATGCTCTACAACAGACCAGGCACACAGTCTCAACCAACAAACATTTATTTGTGGGCCTGTTGTACTGCGCCTGGTGATCCGGAAGACTTGAAGACATCTAAAGTACAGTCCCTGCCCGCAGAGAGCCTGACCACTCAGCAGGGAGAGTCCATAGGCTTAAATTGCCATAGTACGTTGCTAGATATAATTCCACACACATAGATATAATAGACACTCGGTACATTCCTCTTCTCTCTCCTTACCCCAAAACTTGTCCGTAAGAAGCATAGGTTCCTCTTTGGGAACTGGATTGCCCACCAGAAGCAAACTCAGAACCTCTCCAGTGATATAAAGCCTGCTGTACCTCTTCTTTTTTTTAAATTTTTTAATATTTATTTTTTAGTTTTTGGCAGACACAACATCTTTGTTTGTATGTGGTGCTGAGGATCGAACCTGGGCCGCACACATGCCAGGCAAGCACGCTACCGCTTGAGCCACATCCCCAGCCCTGTACCTCTTCTTGATCCCTCTTCATGACTCAGAATCCACCTAACTGTCCAGGCAGAAGCCTAGACAACTGTGTTAGTCAGCTTTTCATTACTGTGACAAAATATCTGAGAAAAACAACTTGAAGGAGGAATGATGTATTTTGGCTCATTATTTCAAATCCATGGTTAATGGCTCCAGTGTTTCTGGGCCTGGGGTGAGACAGAGCATCATGGCAGAAGAACATGGCAAAGCAGCATGTGGAGCAAAACTGCTCACTTCAGGGCCGCTAGGAAGCAGAGAGAGAGCAAGGAAGTGGTCAGGGGTAAGATAGACCCTTCAAAGGCACACCTCCAATGGTACACTTCCTCCAAGGTGCCACCTTCTACAGTTTCTACCACCTCCCAGTAATGCCATCAAATTCTGAATCTATCATTGGATTAATCCACGGTTGAGGTTAGAACCCAAAACCCCACTGCTGAACATTGTTGCACTGAAGAGCAAGCCTTCGATACACGAACCTCATAGTAATGAGGGTTGTTACCTAGGTCAGGAGATGAAAGGAATGAGGGGATGAAGGTCTCCCCAAGGGGAAGCTAGCCACAGGGCCCTCAGCAAGTCCCTTCTGCCAAATACCCCACTACTCTTACCAAGATACCCAGTGAACCCCACTCTTTGCTGAGGGTGTAGAATTGTCTGAGACAGAGAGAATATTTCAATCGGAGAGAACTCAAAGGCCCATTTGGGAAGAAGGATTCCAGATCCAAACTATAACAACTATGCTAGAAACTTGAGGTGCATATTGTCATGGTAGGAATGTGCTGGAGTAGCAACAGCAGAGCAAGGGGTAAAGAGCTTCAGGGTCCTCATCTATGAAATGAGCATAAGATACAGGGCCATGGTGAGGCCCTGAAGAGCCCAGAGCCCATGAATCAGTACAGTTGTTCCTTGGTATCTGTGGGGATTGGTTCCAGGACCCCCTAATGATACCAAAATCTTAAGATGCTCAAGTGTCTTACATAAAATTGTGCAGTGTTTGCATATAATGTGCCCAATCCTCCCATATACTTTATTTTCATTTATCTATTTATAAGTTTCTTGTTTTGCAATAGTGGGGATTGAACCCAGAGGCACTCTACTACTGAGCTACTTTGCCAGCATTTTTTTTTTTCAATTTTGAGTCAGTGTCTTACTAAGTTTCTGAGGCTGGACTTGAACTTTTGATCCTCTTGCCTCCCAAATTGCTGGGATTACAGGTGGAACCAGCCTCCTCCCATATACTTTAACTCATCTCTGGATGAGTTAAATACCTAATACAATACAATGTAAATACTATGCAAATAGTTGTTACATAGTGTTGTTTAGGGAATAATGACAACAAAACAGTCTGTACACATAACTTTCTTCCCAAGTGGTTTTTGATCCTCAGTTTGTAGAATCCACAGAGCAGAACCTGGGGATATAGACAGCTTACAGTGAATGCTCAGTAAATGTTAGTTACTTGTGTTGCTCTAAAATCACCCACTAGATGGTGAGCAACTACTATCTTGTTCATCCCTGGCAGGGGCTCACAAATGTTTATTGAATTGAACAGACTTTTCCCTCTGCTACTCTTTCTCTATCCAATTGATTTTTAGGGACTGTCAATTCCACCTCAAAAATTGTCTCAAATGTGTATCCCGCCTCCCCTGAGCTGTCACTTCCTTATCTCAGGCCTCATCCTCACTCCCCTGCAGAAGCCTTCTAATTGATTTTAGCATTTGCCACTTTTCTCAACCTATCCTCCTGAGCCCTATCAAAGGGTTCTTCCAGAATGCAAATCTGATCTCTTGATTATCTTACTTCAATCCCTCATTGGCTCCATGTCCACTGGATAAAGTCCAGCTGCCCAGCATGTCATCAGACCCTTCCTGCAAGGCAGCTGCCAATCTTTCTAGTTCCATCTCCTGGCCAACCACATCTGGCTTTCCAGACACACCAAAGAGACACACCTGGTCTTGGAGTCCTTTATACCTGGAAGGCCTATGCACAGCCCTGTCAACTTTTTTTTTTCTTTGAATTTTACATTCTCTTACAAGAATCAGCTCAAATGTCATCAACTCCATGATATTCTGTGCTTGCTGGCCCCCTGCCCCACTGACATTGAGCTACACACCTTCTACTCTTCCCAAACACTCTGTGTGTGCCTCTTCCATAGTGCATTGTTCTAATTACACCTTACCCCACCACCAATTATCCCTGAGCTCCTCAAGGACAAAGGTCATGTTCTGAGTCTACACTTGTCTATTCCCCCCAGGGGCTAACTTAGCACCTCACTTAACAGAGTGTTTAATTTACAAGGAAAGGAAACCACAGCCTAGACTTGAGCAGGAACCAATCTCTCTGTAGTTAAGCTTCATAGATCTATCCTTCCTGAATGGGCCATTGAATTCCCTCCATTGGAACATTCTGTCTCAGACAATTCCACATCCTCAGAAAACAGTAGGGGTTGCTCAGTATCCCAGTAACACCAAGTGGTGTTTGGTAGAAGGGACTTGCTGAGCCTCTGCCGCTAGCTTCCCCTGGGGGAAATCTCATTCTTCCTTCCTTTCACCTCTTGACCTTGGAAACAGCCCCATCATCCAGGGGAGGTAGGTTTAGAAGTTGAGTGTGGTGGGAAACAACTCTAATCCAGATAGAGCTGAAGCATTTATTGCAAAATGGGGGGTAAAAAAAGTAGTAGTAGTAATAGTGAGGCAGTAACAAGATGGAAGCACATTGGCTGGTTCTGTGGATTTCAGAAGGAGAGGAGGAAGTTCCTGCAAGAGAGAAGGAACTTCCTGCTGAGAGATTATGTGGGAACCTGGCCTACACCATGGACTTAGCAGAAGTGATACTTGGGAGGTATCAGTTGTGTCACAAGTGAGGCATCACTGTGGGTATTCAGATTACTGCAAACACCCACTGTGTGCAAGTATGCTCTGTTTTTCATCTTATGTCTAGTAACTATTCTCAGTGATTGAGATCTAAGCTGCTTCACTCATTCAGTCATTCAACATAAATCATGATATTTGGAACAGCCCTACTGTTTATCTGGCACTGTGCTATGCCCTGTGAATCCAAGAATTAATATATCCCATTACAAAAGTCTTCTGGTCAATGACCACAATATGCAAGGAACTGGACCAGATGTGCATGGAACCCAAACAGAGCAAGAAGTAGTCCTCCATCTTAAGTGGTTTGATAACTGTTAAGGAAGATAACTTTCCAGTGCATCTAAATCACTGCTATGAATAACAGATGTGGCCAGCTTTCTATTGCTATGATAAAATACCTGAGAAAACTGACTTAATGAGAGGAAAGGTTTATTTTGGTCCACAGTTTCAGTTTCAGAGGTATTACTCCATGGTTGCTTGGACCTGTTGCCTTTGAACTTGTGATGAGGCAGAAGAATATCATGGCAGATACACATGGCATAGGAAAGCAGCTCACCTCATGACAATCAGAAACAGAATGAAGAGAGAGGCCAGGTGCAGTGGTACATGCCTATAATCCCAGCTACTTGGGAAGCTGAGGCAGTATCATAGCAAGTTCGAGGACAGCTGGACAACCCTGTCTTGGGTTGCCGCTCAGTGGTAGAGTGCTTGGCTAACATATGTAAGGCACTGGGTTCGATTCCCAGCACCACATATAAGTAAATGAATAAAATACAGGTTTATTAGCATCTAAAAAATATTTTTAAAAAAAGAAAAAAAGACCCTGTCTTAAAATTTGAGAGAGAGAGAGAGAGAGAGAGAGCAAAGAAAAATAGGGCTGGAGATGTCGATCATTGATACAGTGTTTGGTTGGCATACATGAGGCCATGGGTTCAATCCCCAACACTAGGGAAGGAAGGAAGGAAAAAGGAAGAGAGGAGGGCCCAAGATCCTGACCTGCCTTCAAGCGCATGACCCCAGTGGCCTTACTTCTTTCCACTAGGTTTCACCTCCTAAAGTTCCACCATTTCCCAACAGCAACACAGGCTGAGGACCAGCCTTCAACATGTGGCCTCTGGGGGACACTTCAGATCAAAATCATAACACCAAAGGCCTTCATTCAGCCCTAGCACTGGTTGATGAATTGCCCTAAAGAGAGGGAACTATGCCCTGTACTTGATGTTCTGTAATTATGTATTTCCAGATCCAACTCCCTGATGAGCAGGGCCATATATTAACGTATCTTCATCAGTGTATCCCTGGACCTTAGCACAGTGTCTGGATAATAAATTGCTCAATGAATTAAATTGAATCAGCCAAGGAAAATCCCTGAAGGAGATGATGACCTAGCCTAGCTGCAGACAGCGTGGCCTTAGGGGCCTGCCCCAGGCTTCACCTCCCCTACCCTTCCTGCCTCTCTGCCTCAAAGATGAGGATTCCAGGAGTAGGAATGAGGCCTAGGATCTCATCCCCAACTCCTTCACCTGCCTTCTGTGGTCCACGCAGGGAGAGGCATAGAGGAGGTGAAGCATATGTGATAATCTTTGGAGTTCATTTCCCCATCTTTTCCTTGGAGGAGGTGGAGTTGAGCCCACCTCCTATGCACTGAGATGTCATTTTTTGGATTATAGATGGAACGGGGTGAATTCCAACAAGACTCGGTACTGAAGCAGCTGGAAGTCCTCAAAGAAGAGGAAAAGGAGTTTCAGAACCTGAAGGTGAGAACAACCACAGGTTCTAAGAGGCAGCCATGGAATCTGCTCTTCAGCTTTGATGGCCCCAGCCCCAGTCCCTACAAAGAATGGTAGCCAGGAGAAGGGAAGGGCCAGAAGCCAGCCTGGGGACAGGTCTGTAGCCGCCAATCCCTGCTGAAGGCATCCACTCTATCCACCCCAACGTGGAAGAGACTGAGAGTTAAGACTCATCTAATTCACCTCTCCCCCTGCTCCTTATAATTAGATTTTAAAATCCATTATCCCTGTTCTGGACAAACACAAACAACAATTAAAGTCTGATTTTCAAGTTTTCTTGAAACAGAAAAAAAATAAATGAATAAAAAGAAAAGAAAATGATCTTGCAGTGCCCTAACATAAACCCTGGAAGGTGGTGGCAGAGGTTATCAGAGGCCACTCAGGAGGTGTCCAGTTCTGGGGTCCTCAGCTCCTTCCCTTCAAGAACCTGCCAGCCCTCTCCTGGCATCCAGCTTCACTGACCCTTCCTGGGTCTCCGGTTGGGTGTCCTTCTGCCTGCCTCCAGGCCTCCCCAGTGGTTTCCTTCCTCCTCCTCACCCCTCCCTGGGCAAGGTAGGGCTGGCTGGTTCTAGATTCCCCCCACGGTGTCCAGCAAAGGCTTCCCCAATGATGCGCTTCTCACTCTCACCCACTCAGGACCCCACTAATGGTTACTACAGTGTCAACACCTTCAAAGAGCACCACTCGACCCCGACCATCTCCCTGTCCAGCTGCCAGCCGGACCTGCGTCCCGCAGGCAAGCAGCGTGTGCCCACAGGCATGTCCTTCACCAACATCTATAGCACCCTGAGCGGCCAGAGCCGCCTCTACGACTACGGGCAAAGGTTCGTGCTGGGAATGGGCAGCTCCTCCATCGAGCTTTGTGAGCGGGAGTTCCAGAGGGGCTCCCTCAGCGATAGCAGTTCCTTCCTGGACACACAGTGTGACAGCAGCGTCAGCAGCAGCGGCAAGCAGGACGGCTACGTGCAGTTTGACAAGGCCAGCAAGGCCTCCGCCTCCTCTTCCCACCACTCCCAGTCCTCTTCCCAGAACTCCGACCCCAGTCGACCCCTGCAGCGGCGGATGCAGACTCACGTCTGAGGATCACACACCGTGGGCGGGGACAGGCCAGGGAAGAGGGCAGGGCATGCTCTGGCTCTCCAGGGACTAGGGCTACTTTGCAGAGGACCCCAGAACTGGACACCTCCAGGATGGCCTTTGAGCACCTCTGCCAACACCTTCCTGTGAAACTCTGATCAAGCACAAACCTGGGTTCCCAGCAGCAGCCTGCCAGAGGCAGCAGGTGGGGAAACGGATGGAGGATGCCGCTGATGTGCTTGGTGCTAGACACCTTTGTCCCCAGCCCTTTTCTGGAGGCCCCTCTACCACCTCCTCCCACAGGCACTAGTGGCAGCTATAAATTTGCTTTCATGAAACTGCCGTCCACTCTCTGGTGTCCCCTGGGATTTCCCCCTTGCTGCCCATAAGCCCTCCCTGTGCCTGTGCTCCTATACAGCCCTGGGGAGAAAAGGGGAGTTCTTCCCAGCACCAAGTTGCTCCAGAGACCGCAGCTCCCCGCACTGCTCCCAGCCCACGCCTCAGAGACTTGAGAAGCCAGAAATGGCCCTGGCCAAAAGAGCACACCACCTGGGAACCTGGCTCCAATTTGTTTGGTGTTTTGTGTCCATACTCTTGCAATTCTGTCCTTGGACTTGATGCCTCTGAACTCGGAGGTGGGACTGGCCCAATCAGAGCCTGGTGTCCTGTGGGGAGGGAGACTGTGAAGCCTGGGGAATACCATACCCCTCTCCAGACTGCGGGATTCAGAGCCTCCCCTGCCCCCTGCTTTATGTACTCCCCACCTCCCCACAGCACAATCAGAATTAATATAAGGAGTGAGAGTTGGTCTGGTCAGGGTTCTGTGAACAGTCAATGGAGAGTGTTTCCGGGTGGTGTTGGTTTGAGGGGGCTGGAGATCAGGTCCCGAAGAGGATGAGACTCTCCTTCTCTGCTGATGAATACCAGGAGCAAAGATCCTGTCTCCAGTAAGACTCCATGGGCAAGAGGGAAAGTTCATCTGCGCCTCTCCTCTCCCCCCATTCACCATCTGAAAATAAATGTTAGGGCCATTACCCCAGCAAATCCATTCTGTTCTTTTTTTTTTTTTTTTTTTCCTGCAGAGTTACAGAAAGATCGCAAGGGCTCGGAGTATGTTTTGGGAACCCTAGTTTCTTTACCCTTCTTTGATTCAATTTTCTCAGACTAGGAAGGCAATTGATGGGTCTGGTTGTGGTGGTAACAGAACCTATAGACATACTGTCCTGGTGGATGGGCCTCACCAATCCCAACTCTTTTCTAATACAACTGAGGCAACAAGGTCATACTGGACATTTGTCAGATCATTTTAGTCTTTTCTCTTGATATTTTTTGGCAGGGCAATCTCCTTCCATTCAAGTTCAGGGAAGGAGCCCTCTTAAAAGAAGTTAGACCATCAATACCCTAATACTCAGATGTGGGACTCAAACAATGTTCTAAGAATGGTTTTGCTTGGATGGAAAGCTGGGTGATGTCATGGAGGTGGGATGGATAAACAGTGGCTGGTTAGAGTGCTAACACAAAGGTTGTGATTTAAATGGAACTTTGAAGAACACAGATTGCACCCCAAGGTTGTAGGTTCCTAATTGGCTTTATAGCCTATTTCTCCAACCTTCCCTCACAGCCCTTATCCAGCATAGAAGCCACCACCGTAGTCTGTGCTTTCTTCCATTCACTGATTCCTGGGATGGCCCCAATCTGCAGATTCTATGCTTAGCCCTCACAGTTCCCCCACTCAGGGGAATTTTCTGCTTCAGTCATACTCCTAGTGATTTAAAATCCCCCAGTTCCCTGGATATCTTCCTTTGCATCTCTCAACCCTAAGGGAATAGAAACTGATCAAAAATGGAAGTATACATCCCAGTCCCACATCCTGCTCTGGGTGCCACTCTGGTCTGGTGAAGGTGTTAGGATCGTTGACCTCTACCCTCTCTAGGTTAATCTCAGCATGCTTTCCCTCTTATACATGTTTTCCTTTTGCCAGCAGGGAACAAGGATCCAAATCATATGCAAAATAACTTGATGTGACAGAATAAGGACAAGATGACTTAAGAGAATTTGTCCATTCATTTCTCCTCACCTTGGAGACAGGTGGAGAATCTACAACTTAATCCTCACCAGAACTTCCATTGCCCCATAGCCCCCCACCCCCCCCCAACACACACAACTTGTAGGGTGAAAGTGCCTGTTCTTTCTACAACCCAGGGATATGACAAAATAACCAGAACAGAGAAGATACCTGTTCTGTGAATGGAATGAGCCCATCTCCCTCCTATGCCATGGGCAATCCCACGGCAAGAAGATGAACTGTTCTAGAAGATGAACAGAGAGCACCACAGGGCCACATTCAAGGATGAGGCTATAGAATGTCAATCTTTTGAGCTCTCTTCAGTGCACAAACACAACAAGAATGGCGAAGAGACAGTAGATTCTGAGAATGGTCTTTATGAGGGGGAACAGCAATGCAGGGAGAAAATTAAGGTGAATGGGAGTAGGGTGCTCTGGAGCATTAAGAAGGACCCCAGATTGAGCTATGTGCATCCCTTACTTGTGTCCAGCTCTACTGACTTCTCACGATGTGTGAGGGTACAGAAAAGCCAATAAAGGCAATTATTATTTTTTTTTTAAAAAAAAGGTAGTAGGAAGTCCTGAATTCCCTAGTAGGTGATTGTACATTTAATAAAAAGAGGGCTCAATACCTGTAATCTTATTTAATCTTTACAATTCTACAAAGTATCACCTTTTCTTACAGAGGTGAAAATGAAGCTTAGAGAAGCCAAAGACTTGCCCAAGGTCACAGAGTTAAAGAGTGGCAAACCTGAGATTTAAACACACAGGATTTCCACTACAAGATGTTTCTATCCTGCAGTGCAAACTCAAAGCCACTCTCATCCTAGAATATGAATGGAAGTGACTGACAGTTAAGTCATCTGCTAGCTGGCGCTCTGGGGCAGGCTAGGCGAGGACAAGCCACAGCTCCATTAGGAAGGCAGCACTGGCATCCTCCACCTAAAGTCCCCAAATGACCTAGAAAGACCACAACTCCCTGGGAAACAAAGCTATTCCGTGTAACAATTCACTGCCACCCCTACTAAGGCCAGGATCCAGTTTTCTGATAGCTTTAACTTCCATTATTGGCACTGAGTCACTGGACGGGAGCCCAGTTTCTAATTCTCAGGCTCACTATCAGTCTGCAAAGGCCAGGGTTATTTCCACCACTTTAACTTTCATGGAGTAGGAAGTACTCTCACATGAAGAGCTAAAATGCCACATCAAGTTCATTTCTGATGAAGCCTATTTAAACAAATCCTATAAAGCAAAAGTCCCAAAAGCACTTTTGAGTTTCCAGAATGGAAAGGATCCAGGGAAATGAAAGCAAACACGATGCAGTCCTTGAGCGATTTCTTAGAAAAGCAAAAAAGGAGTCAACAGGAATTCCACTTCTCACTTCCTGGTTGGGGAAGGATATATGCTATTTATGGTATTTGCTTATGGAGTTGGAATTAAACTGCAAGATACGTAGCCACAAGTTTGATTAATTCTTCCCAGACATCATGTGTAGAGTTCGTGGTGGTACAAGAAAAAAAAAGACAAAAGAGAGTCCTGTTATTAGTGTCTTCTCTTCCCCCCTCCCCCTGCATGGTGCTTGGATCAAATCCAGGACCTCATGCATGCTAGGCAAGTACACTACCACTGAACCACATCTCCAGGCCCCAAACTCTTTATTAAAATAACAGTATAGTCAGGCACAGTGACACATGCCTATAATTCACAATGATTTGGGAGACTGAGACAGGAGGATGGCAAGTCTGAAGCCAGTTTGGGCAACTTAGTGAAACCCAGACTCAAAATAAGATTAAAAGGTCTGGGGATATAACTCAGTGATAGAGTGCCCCTGGAAGCATTAAGAAGGACCCTAGATTGAGCTATGTGCATCCTTCACTGTGTCCAGCTCTACTGACTTCTCACAATGTGTGAGGATACAGAAAAGCCAATAAAGGGAATTATTTAAAAAAAAAAAAAAAAAGGTAATAGGAAACCCTGAATTCCCTAGTAGGTGATTGCACATTTAATAAAAAGAGGGTTCAATATCTGTAATCTTATTTAATCTTTACAATTCTACAAAGTATCACCATTTTTTACAGATGTGGAAATGAGGCTTAGAGAAGCCAAAAAAGTTGCCCAAGGTCACAGAGTTAAAGAGTTATAGTTAATAACCTTATTATTCAATTCTTAGTACAGATAAGAAAAAAAATAGACCAATGATATCACAACTAAAACATGAATTTTCCTTTCCCTTTAAAAAAGTCTTTTGAAAGCCCCATATCTAAGTTAGTTTTAGAAGCTGTAACTGCATACTAGACATTTGCAGCTCTACCACTGAAACTGGCAGCAATCTCTGGTAGTAACTGGTAAAGAGTTTTCTGCTTATAATTGCTTATCATTTCCACTAGGGCTCCAACCATCCTTTCCCCAGCGCCCTGTGTTTCAATCTTCCTAACCAGGTCATAAAATGGGGAAATTTCAAGCTACTCTTCTTTCTACAAATACAGATTGTTTTCTTGAATGAAGACAAGTTTGTCATAAGACCATCAGTTCTTTCCCTCAATAATTATTATTCTTTCTTGAGCTACCTCCTCTCATCTCTAATGCTAGGTCTTTGACTTACTCGGAAAGCTTTCATTACTGTAAGTCCTGTAGTTTTAGTACTACTACAATGCTCCTCTTTAAAAGGCTTTTTATAAAGGATTAAGGTATAGTTTAGTAGCAAAACATCTGTTTAGGATGGGCAAGGCCACTACCACAAAATAAATAAAAGATGTTTTGTGAACATACATCATTCACAGGATATGCCATTGAATTGTGGTCTGAATCCCTGAGTTTATTTTATTTTATTATACTGAGGATTAAACCAGCAGCACTTAACCACTGAGCTATATCTCCAGCCCTTTTTAAGACAGAGTCTCGCTAAGTTACTTAGGGCCTTGCACTTGTGATCCTTCTGCCTCAGACTCTGGAGTCCCTGGGATCACAAGTGTGCACCACCATGCCCAGCTTCATCCCTGATTTTATAGTCACACACGCTTCCCCCACAGCTGGGGACTGAAACCAGGACTTGCTCTACCACTGAATTACAATCTCAGCCATTCCTGTTTATATTTATGCTTCTGCCACTATCTGCCTACCACTCCATGTTGCCAGTGCTCTTCTCAGACAGTCCATTCAGCCCCAGGACTAGGACATCTTCAACTCTTAGGTCATGAGTGTCCGTTGAGCTCCCTGGCTAGGAAACACCAGACAAGCACAAGCATCTGCTTCAGCTGCTCCTGAACATCATGGCCCTTGACAATATCTCGGAATGCAAGGAGAACATTCAAAGAATGTTCTTTTATAATTGTGTTCTTTGTGGCAATTCTAAAGTATTAACATTCAAAAAGAAGGTAAGTGAAGTATTGGGAAACCAGATCTTCATTGGGAGAATTGGGGTCTATTCCTAATTATGCAAGAGGAAACATTGTACTCAGGATAGGAACTGAATATAGGAGGATATTTGTCTCACTAAAGATCACCTCCACTTAGGCAAAGTCAAGATCAGGTGGACTAAGTTAAAGATACCATCTTTACCACTTTTGCATGGAAATTTAAGAGCCAGGGCTTTGCTGGCTGAGGACTAGACATTGCTTTTCTTTTTCTTTCTTTTTGCAGAACTCGGGGACTGAACCCAGGATCTTGTGCATACTAGGCAAGCTCTCTATCACTGAACTACATCCCCTAAATCATCTTTATTTCTTTTAAAAAAAAATATTTATAGCTGTAGATAGACACAATACCTTTATTTTATTTATATATTTTTATGTGATGCTGAGGATTGAATTCAGTGCCTCACATGTGCTAGTAGTGCTCTACCACTGAGCCTCCTTTTTGTTCATTTTTTATTTTTTGATTCTGGGAATTGAACTCAGGGACATTCAATCACTAAGCCACATCCCCAGGCCTATTTTGTATTAGAGACAGGGTCTTAGCGCCTCACTTTGCTGAGGCTGGCTTTGAACTCACAATCCTCCTATCTCAGCCTCCCAAGCTACTGGGATTACGGGCATGTGCTACCACACCTGGCCCCTCTTGTTATTTCTTGAGACAGGGTCTCACTAAATTGCTAACACTGGCCTCAAACTTTTAATCCTCCTGCCTCAGCCTCCTGAGTTGCTGGGATTACAGGTATGTGCTACCACTTCCTAGCTTAGAAATTGTATTTCTGATACTAATAGGCACTGTACTGTCAAGAAATATTGAAAGAAGACAAGAAAAGATAAAGTGATACAGATAAGGAAGAGAGACTTTTACAGCAGAATTTGAGATAACCTTGTTTAAAAGTTTCCTTAGCTTTCTCGCCATGCAAGAGCTACATAAGTACAACATAAACCCATAAAGAAAAAGTGAGCACAGAACTGCAGTCTCTCTACCAGTCTCTAACTTGGACTTTTGAGGATTTTTTTCCTCCAGCAGAGTAGCTCTGTACTTAGTAAGGATAAAAACCCATTTTTAAGCAAGTGAAGACACCCTATAAGTGTTAAAGTGGTGATGTATGTAAATAGTGTTTTAGAAAGCCTCAGGATAATAGACGGTTCTGAAATAGCTTAGTTCAGTAATTCCAACTTTGATCCCCTAGGGTTGTTTCAACGTCTGGACCTTCTCTCATTCTCTCCACCCAACTCCACCTTCCCAGTCCAGCAAAGCTCTAGATAAGAAGATAAGGCTCTGTTGACCGGGAGAGTATACTTGAAATTGTTAGTCTTCCCTAGGAACCTCATACAGGGCAAGAAAAAGCAGCCAACTAATCATCTCAACCCTGTAGGGTCTCCTAGCTGCCTCTCAAAGTCTGTTGTCCCTTTAAATGAAGGAGCAGAGCCTTCTAAGTCATCTGGACTTCTTCCAAAACTGTCATCTTATGAGACTCAAGGTTCATCTCCCATTTTATTTCTTGGGTACAGAATCCCGAAGGTCTCTAACAAGTGAAGTTCTTTTGTTGAGAAAGAACTGGACAGGAAAGCTGATTTAACCATAAACACATGCTCATATCACCCTTGACCTCTGATGGGGTTATATACTTGCACACACCTTGTAAATTGAAAATATCTTACACTGAAAGGGCATTTATTACATCTGATTACAACACAGCAGCTGTAGAGTCTGTGGTTGCCCTTCCTGCTGGTGCGGTTTACTTGGAGCTTCAGTTCACTGCCACTGCCCAGCATCAAGAAAGACTATTGTACTCCTTAAGGTCTCTGACGTTAACTTTAACTTGAAAACTACTGCTAGAGAGACAGCAGCTTGAACTCACAGCTCATTGATTATGCAAAACCTGTGTTCCAGTCATTCCACCCTCCTCTACCTAGCTTGTGGATGGTTTAAAGAGTTCTGTATCCAGCCATGTTATTCCGCACCTGGGCAAGTATTCGGTACCTCACCTGTTTCAAATGCTCCCCAAGTGTTTTCCATTTCACAGGCAGCTTTCCAATCCCATGTTTATATTATTTTCCAGTCTACAAAATATCTTAACGTGTTCCCATTAGATCCTTAAAATTTCGCTGTGAGATAGGCATGCATAATCTGTATTTTCCAGATGAAAATGACAGAAGAGGGAGGGGAGCCAACCATATTTTGCGCGCGCTATATTTCATTGCCTCCCAGACAGTATTGTTTCTGAGCTCAAACTTTTTATAAGCTAGACAGTCTCTGGAGGAAGGCATTTGAATGTATTAATGTCCTTGGGAAGTGCAAATAAAACCCCTAAGTGTCCAAAGTTAAGGCACAACGCCATGTGATGTGAATATAAAAATCATTTCCATGCGTTCCTGGGCTAGATAAAAGACCTAACTCTTGCCTCACCCAGGAAGGAGGTCCTGCCCCTGGAGTGGTTTCGCGTCGCTGGGCCTGTTTCTCTCTCTGTGTGTGAAGGGCTGCATTTATAGACTAAATTGGATGGTGCAGGTCTTTCCCGCTCCCTCGCCAGGTTTCACCCGGGTCTCGCGGAAGTCGGTGGGTCACGTGACAAAGCCCAGGCGGGAGCCCAGCAGCTCTCGAAAATGCCGGCACCTCGTGCAAAACCCGTGCGGAGCGGCGCGGGCCCTGAGCCGGTTGCCAGGGAGGCGCCGGCCTCTCTTGAGGCGGGGAGCCAGGGCCCGCGCCCCTAGGGGCCTGAGGGAGGCTACCAACCCAGCGGGAGCTCGCGTCTGTCCACCACCTAGAGGCACCGATGACGCATGCGCGGCCCCGCCCCGCTGACACACAAACACACACACCACCCCTCCCGCTGGCCGCGAAACCTGTGCGTGCGCCTCATTAACACAGTTCAAGGGCACTGGAGATTAAGATGGGCTTTACACGCAGACCCGAGAGTGAAGCCGTCCCTGGAGATCATCTACACTGCTGGAGCAGGGGTTCTGAGCAGTGGATTCTTGTTAGAATCCCAGATTTCTGGGCCCCACCCTCAGGAGTCTAGGACCCAGGAATTTCCATTCTTCAGTCACCACAGGTAATTCTGAGATAAGTAGGTCTCATTAGCTGGACTTAGCCTCCTATTTCAAGAAATGCAGTGATTGGGACAGAAGTCAAGAACCGATGGACTCAAGATTCAACAGAGGCAAATATGTGTCATGGCATAGCTTGTTGCGGAACCCAGTTTTCTTGACGCATTCTCATACTTCCAACTCCTTCCTCTTTCCCTCTTGCTGCATTTTCAGTGTCTAGTTTAATCAGCACCAGGCAGGCTGGCAGGCAGTCCATTCACATTGGTTGGGCTAACTAAAGACTGGAAGTCTCTTTCCCAGAACACCAGACAACTCCAACAAACTCCTCTCCCAGCACTAATCCTCACTCAGCACTGCTTCAACCTGAACAGGGTTTGGGGTACCCTGAAGAAAGTTATGCTTACCCCCAGCAAACAATGGCCTGTGTGGGTGTACAAACACACACCCATACACTCTTCTCTGTGTGCAGTCATGAAGAACTGTCCCACATAACCTGACAAGAATGTTAAATACTCCCATGTCTGAGTGTGTGGAGTTTGGAAGGGTCTGCCCAGTCCCTGTGTGTTGGATTCTGGCTCAAGTTTAGGCACGTTCAGTATCAGACAGTGGCCTCAGTCCAAGACGGCTGGATCTTGTGCACAGACAGCCACTTTCAATGGCCTTGGACAAGGAAACAAGACACTCCCTTGCATATCCTCATGAGAAGCATCTGGGAATAAACAGAACTGAGATCCCCCCACACACATTCACAACCCTGTTGGAGTCAGCAAGTTTCCTCCCCAGGACAAAACCTGGAAGACAATGCTTGCCTGTGGGGGTAGAGAGGAGGGGGTTGGGGTTGCAGGACCCTATTTGTTTTCAGAATCCCCCATCCTTCTAGGGGGAGAGCAGCTAACAAGGTGGCCAGGTTTCTGAGAATTCGGGCAATTCCACTCTCTGCAATAGTCCTCAGAAGTGTTCTGAAGAATGAAGTTGGTTGATCTCTAAGACACTCCAACACACTGTCCAGAACTGTGACATCTTCTGTCCCTCTCAAACCCCTGTCCCTCATTATCTTTCCCGTCCCAGCCTGGCTCATCTCAAAACCTCAAGGCTTTCCGAGAAAGCCAGGAACACAGCTGAGTTCCAATCCCCCCAGGGAGTTCCAATGCTCCCTCCTGGCTCCAGATGTAAAGGAACAGCTGTGGAGGTGGCAGGAGGCCCAGTTGGCAGTGGAGTAGGGACTGGGAAGATGGAGAACAAAAGCCAGAGATACAGGCAAACGGCAGGACTGGGACTTGGGACTTGGGAAAGAAACTGTCTCATCCCCTGGCCAGGAGACTGGCTGCCAGGCCTTGCCAGATTCCTCTGGTGCTGCCCTCCAATTCTGGAGCCTGTGCCACTGGCAGGGCCTTCCATAAACTCTGTTTTATGATTCCCACTTAATCTGAGAAGGGAAAATTGGCTAGCTTTGTCTGACCCCACCCCGTCCTTAAAACATGCACTTCCCAGCATGAGCTTTTGGTAATTGAAGAATGGTGAGGGAGAGAGGAGACAGGAAAGGATTCTACCCCTCCATCAGACATCCTCTTTCCCCCTCCTTCCCTCTTCCTGGGAAGTAAACCAGGATGCTGAGTGCAGGCTGGGTGTCCACAGCAAGGCCACTCCAGGTACCACTTGCTGTTCTGCTGTGCCTGGTGATACTGTGCAACTGGGCACGGGGCACAGTCTCAGTAATAATTATTCCTCAAATGGCAATGTCCTGCTCTGGGTGCACTGTCACACCCCCATCTGTGTCCTCCCCAATCTGAAAGGACACAGGGTCTCACACCTGCTTCCGTTTTAGGAAAAAATATTTTAATGGTAGGTTTGAAACCTCTTTTTCTGAGGTCCTCTTCTTGGTAGAACCCCTTCACCCATGCTCTTCCCAGTCCGGCTGGGAAGTAACAGCTCCTCTCTGGAGGACACCCAACCACTCCTGGTGACTCGCCCTCCTGGGAGGCCAGCTCTGGGTCTAGGCTTTGGTGGGCCCATCACAAGTAAGTTTTTATAAAAAGTGGGCAGAACACTGTACTGTGCCCCTTTTCTGGATGCCATGGGACCAGCCCACAGCACTTTCCTACCCCTTAATTAAATAGCCCATTAAATAATCTCTTGGTGCTAGCAGGGGGGGTACTCAGCAACAAGTACCCTGGCTTGGCCGGGTCCCCGTGGTCCCCAATGCCTATACCATGACTGGATCTGGGACCCCTCAGGTAGCCAGGGGCATGGCCTCATCTCAGATTGGGCCAGTTCCAAGACCCCCCTCCCCAAACAGGAGAGAGTGAGTTCAAAGGGGTTGTACTGGCACCAGGCATCCCTGCAACCATGGACAGGGGTCCCTCAGGCAGTGGAGTAGGCAACCCTCAAGGGTTACAGCTCTGGCCTAAGTCAGAAGTACGTGAGGTTCTTCACAGCTCCAATCTCCAGCATCCGCTTGATGGCCAGGGCCTCTTGGGACACGTTGTGGCCTGACCCCTGTGGAGACAGCCAAGGAAGTATATTGAGGGGCTCCCAGGGACCTCCCTGTCCTTCCCCATGGCCCCACACTTCTTGGGAGGTCTTTCCCTGTGTTGGCTCTTGGAAGGAAGGCAGATCCACATGGCCAAATACAGAAGATACCAGCCAGGGGTTCAGAGCTCTGACTCTGACTGACTTCATAGTGAGGCACCTCTGGGTGCCTTCACCTCTCTCTCACCCAATGTCTCTCTGGTAGTCTGGTCCCCAGATCCATCTGAGCCATGGAACTCCAAGCAGGGCCACTTACCGCCATGGACTTGAGTGTGATCTGCTCATAGTAGTGAATGGTCTGCTTCTTATTGTAGGCATCTGGGTAGCCAAAGCCTGCAATGTGCACTGAGTCGCAGAGGTGAAGGGCCAGGGTGATGGCCAACAGACCTGTGGTTGGTTTCTGAAGGACAAGACGGGAGGCATCAGAGGGTATCCTGCTCCTCCCCTGTCTTCTGTGTCAGTGCTGTGATGGAATTTTTGGAGTCATGGACATGTGCTTCTTCTGCACTAACAGAATAGCTCCTAGCCAGCTGAGCACCGGAAGGGGCTAGTGCAGATAAAGAAGCAGATATTTTTTTCTATGAAATTTTAATTCATTAAATTTTTTTGTGGTATTGGTACTGATGACTGAAACCAGGGGCACTTTACCAATGAGCTATATCTCTAGCCCTTTTATTTATTGAGACAAGATCTCACTAAGTGCTGAGACCTGCCTCCTGCCACAGCCTCTCAACTCTCTGAGATTACAAGTATGTGCTGCCCCCTAGCTCATGCATTCGAGTTGAAGCACTCTACTGAGCTATACCCTTAGCCCAAGTTAATTAAACTTTAAATTTAAGCAGCCACATGTGGCAAGTGGTTACCATAATGGATCATACAGTTCCACATATCTGGAGGGAGGGGTTGGTCCTTGAAGGAAGACAATGGGAATCAGGATGACAATAATGGCAATCGTCATAATACTATTGCTTTTTGAGCACTTACTATGTGCCAGACACTATGTTAAGTGTTAACATAGTATGTAATACATCATCTCAACTAGTCCTCCCCAAAACACTTGCTATTTTAGTATTAGCTCCATTTTATGAAAGAAAAACTAAGGCTTACAACTATTAAGCAACTCAGTGAAAAGGAGGAAGGGATCTGCTATGTGACCCTTCATGGGATGGGCTCTCCCCTTCTATAAAGTGAGGATATTAATACCTTTCCTATCCAACTTTTGGACCACTATAGGACCTCACTTCCTCTACCTCTAATTCATCCACAGGGATGGGCAACCTGATGTTCAGACTTCACACGACTTGCCTTCCTCAGCTCCAACAATCTATTTTGCAGAGCATCTCAGCTGCCCATTCCATTTGGGAACTACCTTCTGATGTGTCAGCCCTGAATGACAGTTTTCCCAGTTTTTCCTCCAACATCCCTTTCAAACTCTTGGTCTTCTCATTTCTGTCCCCTGCCTCGACTCTTTTTCACTCTTATTGCTTTAACCACCGCACCCCCCCCACCCCGGCGCGGTCTCTTATCCAGTTTGAGCCCTGCAGAGAACCATACTGCCATCTCCTAGTTAATTCTGCCTGGACATGGGTTCCTCAAACTCACCATGCTCTTCTTCTTTCCTGCATTCTCTGAACTAATTAAATATATTACCATCCATCCACTTGTCCAAATTGGAAACCAAGAACTGGTCATATACCTTTCAACCCCAGAATCCTAGGAGGATCCCTACTGAATCTCACTTTTATATAATCTACTCCCCTCAAAGGTAGATGAAAATTGCCTATGGGATAAATACATTATGCTTCACTATGTTACTTTACATGGCAGAGTTGGCCAGAAGAGAGGAGATAATCCTGATGGGATGACCTAATTACCTAAACCTTTAAATCTGGGTGTTGAGGTCAGAGATGAAAGAAGTCAGAGATCTGAAGCACAAGAAGGATTTATCCTGCTTGAAGTCACTGGCTTGATGATTCTTGCCATATGGATCCCTCACTTAGCTGACAGCCAGCAAGGACATGGGGACCTCAGTCCTGCAACCACTGGAACCCAATTCTCTCAAGAGCAAGAATGAACTTGGAATGATTTTTCCCCAAAAGCCTCCAGACAAGAACTCAGTTCTTGTGACCAGTCTTGTGACACCCTAAAAAGAGACTACAGGAATATGAACTAAGATGTGAGTATTATTTTAGGCCACTAAGCTCATGGTAATCAGTTAGGCAGCAAGGAAAAAAAACAAGACAATGTCAAGTCTGTGTCCAATCCTTCCTTTTCCTTTCCCACCGCTAGGAGCTGGATTCAGTTACTTACCTCCTTGTACCTCTCTCTCTAGCCTTCACTCTAGTCTATGTTCCCATGGCATACGGTGTTTCTTGCTGCCCCTCAATTCCACTTGCACTGAAACAACTTAGTGGCTGGAGGAGAAGTTTGGTATTGCCAAATGGAAGGATTTTCCCCAGTTCCCTGCTTGTTGGGCCCCATGATCCCTCCAGGCCAACCCCAGTACTACTTCTTGTGGGGAGTCCCCCAGACTTCCCGCAGAAGAAGTGTGCCCCTTTTCTGAGTCCCACTGCCTTTGCAACATTTTATCACTCATAGTGCAACCTGGAGGCTCATTCTGCTACAATGCCTCTCCTTAGGACAAGGAGCACATCTCTCTCACAAGCATACAGGCCTGGAGCCTGGCACTGAGAATCACACAAGTAGACATTCACCACATGACACTGAGTAACAGTAGATATTCAGTCAAGAATAAAATGATTAGCCAGGCATGATGACACATGCCTGTAATTCCAGCAACTCAGGGGAAGTGAAGCAGAAGAATCACAAGTTCGAGGTCAACCTGGGCAACTCAGCAGGACTCTGTCTCAAAATGAAAAGGGCTGGGGATGTAGCTCAGCAGTAGAGCACTCTGGGTTCAATTCCTAATACCAGGAAAGGGGGGGGGGGCATTTATTCAAAAGTTGGAAAATATTTACTGAGGAAGCACTGCATTCCAATTTCCGTGATAGGCATTTTACATAATTAATAATTTCTTAAATTCTATAATGGTCTTAAAAGTCAGAATGAGTATTATCCCCATCATACAGACAAGAAAACTGAGGGACCAAGTGGTAGAACTGCCCAGTGCTATACAATAAGAGGTACAGCTCAGAATCCTGTCTATGACAGTTGGTTTTGCTCCCTCCAACATCCTGCACAGCACCCTGAGGGGGTCATAAGATATGTGGATAAGTTCTTGGGAAACTACAAAGTGGATGACAACCTACCAGCTAAAGACCTCAGGGCACTAAGAGCTGAAATCAAAACTGTGACTCACAAAACTATACCATGTCAACATAGCAAACCATGACATGCAAGGCAGACTGCTAAAGCTCAGACTCTCTTAATTCAGTCAGACCAATATGTTCCAAGATAAGATCACAGACTAAGCATCTAACAACTCTACACAGGCTTAAGCTGTTCCAAAGATAGAACCAGAGACTCTTCCAGCAGCTCCCAGTTTACAAATTCTGACCAGCGCCTGCCAAAACCACTCTCTAACTCCAGCCCCCAAATCCAACACATACCTCTTGCTCATTTCCCCTGTGGAGATGCCCCACAATTCCCCAAGGCATGCACTCTCTCTGCCACGACAGGCTAATAAATCTACCTCTAATTACAGGTCTGTTCCTGAAGGTCAAGTGTAAGTTGCTCTCTCTTATTATTCTCCCTGCTCCCGCATCCCTCTGTGTCACCTCCCCACCCCCTCCACAGGACCCCAACCCTCCGGCCTGGGCTTCTTGTCACCAGCCCATTGTCACCTGTTTAATCTTTCGCGGCTGTTGCATTGGCAGGCTCAACAGTTTGTCAGCTGCAATCTCCATGAAGAAGGGATTGAGAATCCGAATCTGTTTGGGGTTGACGTCCCAGATGAGGGGGGGCTGTTTCCAGAAACCTTTTCGCACCTAGGGGGAGGGGGTTGGAAGGGAGAGACATGAGAGTGGATGAACAACTGTTTTCTCCTTTCCAACTCAGTCTGTGGTCATCAGCATGGGGTCCAAGTGTAGGCAGAAGGCCTTGGGAGTGCAGGTAAAAGGGAAGGGAGATGGCCTGTGCCAGACATGGAGGGAGACAGGCGAAAAGTGGAATACCACCTCAGGGAGGCCAAGTGACAAGGTATGTAGAGTATGGGGTCCAACAACCTAAATATTCAAACAGGAAGAAGGGGCCTCAGCTTTAGACTATCTAAACACTTGGCAAAAATGCCAGATGGGATAGTTCAGGCTTCAACCAGATGGCAAGGTGAGGGAGTAGGCTCGTTCTGGGGACCATCTGGAAGGGCTCCCAGCTTGTTGTTCTGGCCTGCTCCTCGCTGCCTGGAGGTGACTGCTGGAGGGCGCCTCTGCCCCCATGTTTCACATAGGCAGACACATTCTGGTAGCTTTCCTGTACCAGACTCCTCAAGTGTGGGAGGGCCTTTGGCTGCCACTGTCTGACTCCTACAGGTTTTTGAGCCAGGCTACTGGGTAGTTTATCAGAAGCCCTGCAGGACACTGCCCTTGGCAGGAAGCCTAAGGCACTGACCTCTGAGAGCCTGGTTCATGCTGTCCAATCACCAGACCTTTAGGGCTGCAGGACAGGAATTGTGGAGCGTGAGATCCTTACTTGGACAGAGTCCCCATGGGCCCATCCCCCATTTACCCGCTTCTTATCACTCAGGATGGTCTCAATCCAGTGGAAATCCATCGCCTTGAAAGCTACTAGAACCAGGAGTGTGTCTGGGTTGTTCTCCACTTTGGGGTCGAAGTGGGCAGATTCAGGGTAAAAGAGACGCATGGTGGTCTTGGAGCCCACATCTCCCTCGTAGCCAGCCACTGGGGCGTTGTTCAATCTAGGGCAGGGGAAAGGAAGCCTGTTATTAGAGCCTCCCTTTCCCCACCTGTCTACAGTCCCCTGCTTGGGATACCCAGCGTCCCAATAGAATTGGGAAGGGACAGTCATACACACCTGATGACCACATCATACTTGTTGATGGCATCTCCCAGGGAGCTGTTCCGTAGTCGATGCCCATTGCCCACCACAACACAGCGGCGGCACTTGAGACTGCATGGGAAGAGGAGTCATGAAACCCAGGAGTCCTTGCTCTACTTAACTCTCACAGCTCTGGATCTGTCTGGAGCTCATCTTAGGAGCACTTCCTCCACTCTCTGCAGCCCCTGGTCCCCATGGAGCAGGCATCACCAAGTAGCCCTGCTTATGATCATGATGACTTTGTAATTCTGGGCCTTAAAGGGAGAGGTAACTCCCTTGAGCAGAACATGGCAGAGAGGCAAGGAGGGAAGATGCAATGGGACCAGTGCAGAGCTCCCTTGCAGGGAGCCTAGTCCTGCCTATTGCCATGGAAATACCCTCAGCATCCTCTGGCACCTGGATGCCCAGGCTAGGTTGCTGTGGGGATTGGCATACCTATATCGCTGAGAGATAAGCAGGCTAGGAAGGAGGATCAAATTTGCCACAGGGAACCCTCAACAGGAGGCTCACTGGGATGGTGCTGAGCCATGACAATTTCACACTGGGGCAGGAAAGAGGAAGAGGCAACCCAGTCTTGAATAGGAGGAGTTATCTTCTTACCTCTGGATGCTCTCAGGTATGGAGTAGCTGGTGATGGCTAGCACCCGGAGGAGCAGGTCCTCTACAAACAGAACAAATGGAAAGGAATGAGACAGCAGTCACCAGCATCCTGAAGGCTGCCTGCCCTGCTCCATTCCTTAGAGCACTGATCCTTCTTCCACCTTGATCCTGATGCCTGGGCCCAGCTTAGAACTTAGGCACAGAGAAAGTGGTTGGCAAAGAACAGGCATCAGTGTGGCCAACATGATTCACTATATCTGCTAAGCTGGGCAGAAACTTACCACTTCCCTTGGTCCCATAGGGCAGCTCATAGGCAGAAGGCGTCTTGACCCAGAAATAATCTTTAAGCTGCAGGAAGATGGGCTGATCTCGGGAGTGGCTGCATGGGGTAGGGATGAAAAGGGGATTAATTTAGATGCCAGGGCAGGGTCAGGTCTCTGACTAATATTACATGGTCTTTCCTTTACCCTCTGGCTTTGTCTAACTTGTGTCCATCAGCACAGCCCCCTCCCTCCAGCCAGCCAACACTGAGGCTGAAGCCCTCAATTTTGGCACTCCCCATACCTTGTCCTCTCCCCTCAGCCTCACGTACTTACTTGCCAAAGATCTTAGAGGCCTTCCTTTCTGCCTCACCCTGGAAGCACGGCTCCTTCTTCTCTGGGATGGGAAAATAAAAACTGGAGACAGAGAAGAGAAGGGAGCCCTAGTCAGATCTGGGGCCCCATGGTCAGGGTTCCAGGCAGCCCCTACCTCCCCCATGGCACACAAGTCTCAAAGCCCTGAGATGGGACTTGCAGGGTAGAAACTTTTTAGCTCATGTCCTTTTTTTGCAGTGCTGGGGATCAAAGCCAGGGGCTTAAGCATGCTAAATAAGCATTCTACCTCTGAACTACATCCCTAGCCCCTCAACTCACATTCTAGTTTGAACTCTAATCACTAAGGATCCAACTCTTCCTGCCCCTGTACTCCCTTTGAGGATCAGGGGAATCATCCAGATCCTACCCACAGCAATGGCCACCCACAGCAATGGCCACCCACCACAATGGCAACCCACCCTCAATGGAAGGACTCTGTCCTAGTAGTTGGAGAGGAAGAGTCATGAACTGGCTCTCAGAACCCTCCTGCCCTGCTAACCCTGCCCTGAATGCCCCATCCCTGGGAAGAACCAATGAAAGGACATAAAGATGCACTCACAGCTCAATGTACTTGTCTTCTCGGGAGATGGAATACCACACCATGACAACCAGGACCAGAGCCAACATGGCCAGGAGCTTCCAGCCTGCAGGGCACATGCACAGAGGAGCTAGAGGCAGATACAGGCAGTACAGCCCATTCTTCTTACCTGCCCCATTCTGGGCCCCTCCAACCCCCAGCTTGAGCAGACCCAGTCTCTGGCCCTCTCCTAGCCCTAGCTCAGGGCTGGGATCTGAATATTTCTAGTGTTCTTTAGGATGAAGAGAGGGTCCCTGGTTCCCAGTCTGACCCTCCACCACCCCCAGGGGGTGCCAGGATGCTGCAGAGATTGGCTTCTGGAGGCCCATCCTTCAGTGAGGGGGAGCCCCTGGACAACACTCACGGGACTTGCTGATCATGTTTCTCAGCAGGTAGCAAGGTTCCTGGGGAGAACTGTCATCCCGGCTGCCTCGGGCCACCTAGGAGGTAGGAGTCCCAGGTGTCTGTCTAGTTGGCTCCACAAACACTCCTGCTTAGAGCAGGACACAGCCACAGCCCACCCCTTTTCTCCTCCTAAAAGCACAAAGCCACTCCCTGGGCAGCATCGCCAGAGCCACTGTCTCACTCTCAACATCCTCCTAACCCCTCCAAGGGCAGCATCAGGGATCCCAGGCTAGTCTTGAACTTGTTGTCCTTCTGCCTTAGCCTCCCACATAGCTGGGATTACAGGCATGTGCCATGGCTCCTGGCTCCTGGCTCCACCCACATTTGACACAAAAATTAAGCTAACTGTACCAGGGATGGATTCATATTTTATCTATTCTCCACCATCTAAGGCTCCCCTTGCTCTAGCCACCACTTCCCTCTCTTTATCTGTCTCCCACAGCTCCTGCCAAGCAGGTGTGCTTGTGCCATAGACTGAGAATGAGGGTGGGGCTAGGAGGGACCCCATGGGCCCCCCCCTTCTGGGCCTTCTCGGCTCTGACCCCAGGCAAACAGTGCCTGAGTCTCACCCCACATCCTATAGGGTGAACTCAGTGAGAAGGGGTGATGAAATGGGGAGACAGAAAATGGGGAGCCATAAGGGAGTAGTTAGTCAATGAGGAGTCTAGAGAGACTTCCAGCAAGGTAAGGGCAAAGGACTGGGTGAATCCAGAAGGGGGGAACTGCCTTGGACTCAAACTTAGCCAGGGTCATGCTGCTGAATCACTACATAACAAATATCTATGCCTTCCATAGCCACAGGAAGAAGCACAGTGTCCGCCTCTTCCATCACGTACCCACACACACACATTCCAAGGGCCCTGCCCTGCAGACCCACCCAGGTCAGCATGGGTGGGGACTGGGACTGTGATTTTATAAGAGCTCAGGTGACTGAGAATGAACCAGGAAAGGGAAGAAAGGACTAGTGTGTGACAAATGAAAAATCTTTGATTATTTCTTAGGGATAGGGAGGGACAAGGCCTGGTCTTTGTTACACATCACAGACAGATGATCCTGAATGCTGTTCTGTTATGGATCAAATTCCCTGCTCCCCAACAGGGTGTTCCTCAGGCTATACTCTGAGTCCACAGTCACGGAAGAAAGAGTTTTCAGTGCAAGGGACAAAGCCAGGGAAGGACCACCACTAGACATCCTCAGTAGGGTTAGTAGCAACCATCGACAGATCCCAGAGGAATAGAGGATGGCCCTAGCTGGTTTTAAAAAGAAGAAGTCGTCGTCAAAGATTCCCCCATTCCTGGGCCTCTCGCATTGTAGGCAAGCACTTTATCATCGAGCTGTCCCTACAGTGCTGAAAAGTTAGAGATTTGTAATCAGAAGTTCCCAGTTAAAGTCATTATTCTAGAAACCCCCCAGATAGCTCTGCCCACCCACAGCAACCTCCAAGCCATTTCCCACCACATGGCCTCTTCATCTCCTTCACAGCCTTCTTTTGATCTGTAGTGAGCTTAGTTATTTGTTTGTTTTCTGTCTCCCCTATTGAAATATAAGCTCTGCAAGGTTCAGAATAGGTCTGTTCTATTCCCAACTCCAGCCTCCAGCATGATGCCTGGCACAGAGTAGAATATACCAGAAAGCACAGAATGAATGCCAAGTTTGTGGATGATCACATCTCCTTCACTGACCCTCAGTTGTCAGGCTGGAAAGTCAGCCTAATAGATCCCTGTTGCTCAAGATACATTTATCAGATCAACAACATGGGCAACACAAAGACCCTTATTAGAAATGCAGAATTTTAGGCTTCCTGCAGACCTACAAAATATTTGATCATGATCCCACATTCAAGTCTGAGAACCACTGATTAGGGAGGTTGTTTTCACAATGGCTGAACAGAATTTCCTGCGGTACTCAAAAAAAAAAAAAAAAAAAGAAAGAAAAAGAAAGAAAGGTGTGTGTGGGGGGGTGGGGGGGTGGGCAGGTAATACAAATTCCATACCTAGAAATTCTCAGAGAGTTAGTCTGGTCTAGCCTGGAATTTGCTTACACACTAGGTGATTCTAATATACAGCCATGGTGGAGAACAACAGATTGGACAACCTTGAAAGCAGACTTTTCAAACTTTGATGTGCACATTCTGATTCTTATTCAGAGAATATGGGTGAGGCCAGAGGATCTCTCCTCCGACCAGCTCCCTGGCCAGGCTCTGCTGCTTAGCTGGACCACACTAAGTTGCAAAGCTCTAGGTCAGAGTCCCTCCAGCTCTAATGTTTTTCAACTTTATCAACTGTACCATCTCCTACACTTCTTGCTCTCCTGATCTTCGTTTTGTAACTTGGATTCACTCCCTCTCAGTGCATCTCTCTTTATATCAGTAAGCCACAACAATGGCTGCACAGTGCAGTCAACGGAGGAGTTTTAAAATATCCAGATGCGGGCTGGGGATGTGGCTCAAGCAGTAGCGTGCTTGCCTGGCATGCGCGGGGCACTGGGTTCGATCCTCAGCACCACATAAAAATAAATATGTTGTATCCACCGAAAACTAAAAAATAAATATTTAAAAAATTCTCTCTCTCTCTCTCTCTCCTCTCTCTCTCTCTTAAAAAAAAAATCCAGATGCTCCACTCTCCAAGATTTTTATTTAATTAGTTAGGGGTCCAGGCATTAGTAGTAAAAAAGCAAAATAAATAAACAAAAAGAAACACTGCCTCTATGGTTCTAATGTGCAGCCAAGATGAAAAACACTACACAGAGCATGTTCCAGGCTAACTAAAAGACAAATACTCAGCCTTGCTCTAAGCAACCTTGAGGGTAGAAACTGGGGATTGGAGACAAGTAGCTTGGACCAAACCCAAACAGCAAGGCAACTAGCCCTCCTTTGACCTCTTTCCCAATAAAGTTCTGCATCAGCATGTCTTGATTCAAAAATGGAGCCAGTGTTGTGCTAAGCAGACCAGCTACACTCAGGGTTGCACCACCCCCTCTCCTTGCTGGGCCAAGCCAAGAGGATTGCCCAGTGGCTTCAGGAATTCCAAGAAGCACAGCTTCTTAAGCACATTGCTGCCCAGGGAGACTTGTAGCTTTTTCCCACCCACTGTCCCACATTGCTGACCCAGCTTCTCAAAAAGGCAGGAGAAAAGTCACAGTAGGATACCTGGGTAGAAAAGCTAGCATCTGATCCATCCATGTTCAAGGTATACCAGCCTCTAGGATTGAGCAGCTGCCAAGGAGACCAGCTCATCCAGTCTGCAAGGCAAAGCTGACCCAGGGCAGGAGGGCTATTTGCTCTCACGGCTCTCTGCCAAGAACCAAGGTGTCCGTGGCTAAAGAGAACTAGGGGAATGGGGTGAAGAAATAAGGCCCACTGGGAGCAGGAACCATGGCTCATACTGCCCCCGGCACTGACTGTCTAATGCACAGCAGGTACCCAGTGAACCGAGAGGAGCACAACCTGATATCCCCCAGGGCAGAGCATGATGCCAGGGTCCTGAGCCCCCAGATCCACCACAGGATCATGGTTTAATGTTCTAAAGAAGGGGGCTGGGGAAGACCAGTGGGGGCAAAAGCCCAGGGTTTACTTAATGTTGCTGCTGAATCTCACTATCCCTCAGTGGTGGTGGTTATAGTTTTTGGTACTGGGGATTGAACTAAGGGGTACTTAACCACTGAGCTGCAAAGCCCTTTTTAGTTTTTGTTTACCTATGTAGGTACAAGGGATGGAACTCAGAGGCGCTCCACCGCTGCATTACATCCCCATCCCTTTTTATTTTATTTATATATTTATTTTTGAATAGGGTATTGCTAAGTTGCTGAGGCAGAGCCTCCCAAGTTGCTGGAATTATAAGTGTGTCCCTCACACATGGCTCACTGACCCTCAGTGACCCTATAACAAAACTTGGAATCACTTTCCTCCCTACTCTTTCAATACTCTCCCACCACTTCTCTCTCCAAATCCCTTCCCTGATCCCTCCCCATCACTTTCCCAGAACTGGTCCCAATCAGTGACTCCATCCCCCTTGACCCTATATCTCCCACCTCTGCTTCCTCCTCTACTCTCTTTGACTTATAGACACATTCCAGACCCCTTCTTCCTAAAAAAGCAACAGTCTGTCTCGGCCTCTAACCCCTCTTCCTGTTACCCCTGCTTCTCTCTCCCCCCTTCCCTCCATCCTTCACTCCCTCCATCATTTTTATGCTAAAATTGTTCCTGATGAGAACATTTGGTGGCTTCCCTCCTCCTATTTGATCTAGGGCAGGAGGGCTATTTGCTCCTTCAGACCCACAAAATTAGAACCCTGCAAAGGGTTATTAAAAAATTAAAATATTAAAAATAAAAAAAAAAACTCAATTCCAGGAAAGCGTTATTTTTCAATCTCATCATACTGTGACCTTGTTCACTGTTGACCATGCCTCCTTCATGGCTTTTAGGTCAAGGCCCTCTCCAGGTTTTCCTGCTACCCCATCCTCTGGATCATTTTTCCCTGGCTCTGCTTTCTTTGCTCACACTTTTTATTTTGCCTCTCTCCCTCCCTCTATGTGTCTGTCTGTCTGTCTGTCTCTCTCTCTCTCTCTCTCTCTCTCTCTCTCTCTCTCTCTCTCTCTTTCATACTGGTGATTGAACCCAGGGGTGCTTTATAACTAGGCTACATCCCCAGCCCTTTTTGTTTTTTTTATTGTGAGACAGTGTCTCCCTAAGTAGCCCAGGATGACCTTGAACTTTTGACCCTCCTGCCTTAGCCTCCCAAGTAAATGGGATTACAGGTATGCACCAACAACAACTTACCCACATTTTTTAAAAGTATATCAGAACTTATAAGGAAAGAGAAAAGGAAGCACTCTCAAGAGGAAAAGTGGGTTGTCTCAGAGAAAAGATTGTTCTTGCTCACATTTTAAATGCTAGCATTCTCCAGGATTTGTCCTGGAGCCCTTTCACACATTTTCACAGGACGAGTTCATTCATTTTAGAGGTTTGCTATTATTTGTACACTGATGATTTGAGTTCTTTATCTTTAGCCCTAATTTCTCTCTCAGGTTCATCCTA